ATTGTCTGATTTAGTTTCAAGTCTTTGACCAACATCCGATGGCATATTAAACTAGTCAGATGGGGTCATGTTACCTTTCCTATCAGCCTCTTGGTTGTCCTTCCCATGTCTTCCTGCGGCTGATGAAGACTTACGGGCAGCATCTTTCCCTGACTGAGAACCAGAAGCTGAATCGATTCCCCCTTCACGTTTCTGCCGTGCCTGTTCAGCCATAAGTTGCCATTTCGATAGCATGTCATCTCCTCCAACAGCAGCACGGGCAGCAACATTTGCTGCAGTTGTCCGCATTTTATCGTCCTCCTCTTTGTTTACCTAAACCAGAGAATAAATCAACACAGGATTCTCTCTCTCTCTCTCTCTCTCAATTTTATTTTATAGGATTCTTAATTGATCAAGATGTCAAAGTTTAGTCTCAAGTGAGTACATTCTCAATACCTTAACTGATTTCAGCCGACTTTCATCTTTCTCCTTGTCCCCAGCAACCCCAGAACCATCCTCAGGCTGCAACAAATTTTTTTTTTTTTACAATCTCACAACTGAAAAAAGAAAAGAAAACAGGGGGACAAAGGGGAAGATAACTTTTCTAACCCACACTTGTGGAAATAATGTTTGGTACAGTTATTATATTACGTTTTTTCATACCACATCCCATAAATATTTGACATATGAGCTTCATTTTGCAAAAATATAGTCAATACTTCTTAATCGGAAAAAGACATAATTAATAGGACAAGTATAAGACAAGCTCATCAAATATACTACACCTTTTCCTACGCATGATAGTAATACAGTGTTCTTCACATAAAGTAGGATACTCTACACAGTACTACTTAGATACGTATGCAGGAAAAGCAAAAGAAATGCTCACATCATTAAGCTTTCGAAGTTTTTCTTCTTCAGCTTGTTTCTTTTCCCATTCTTCTCTGGCCTTCTGGTTAACTAATGTGATTTGTTGTCGAACATCTGAGGTAATAAGTGTTCGGTGCCTTGGTTTCTCAGAGTCCACTCGCTACATACAATAACATATAGTTTCTGGTAATTTAAACAAAAATGAGGGAAGTAGAAGAAAACTAGACTCAAAAATGAGAGAAAATACACTCACCTGCTTTGACAGCCTGATTAGATTACTTATAATCCCACGTAACCTTTCCTCCACACACTGAAGATACAGTTACTGGTCTATAAAGCTGTTAAGACTTCACGAAAAAAAATGATCAGAGTGACTAGCATCTTACCAATGAGAGGCATTTCTCAACGTCATTGCTCATACCCTTCAAACCACATTTAGCCACTGCCACATACAAACACACCAATTTGCATTAATCAATCACTGTAAGAAGGATGTTCCTTTTTCTCATCTAATGCAAATAAAATTATTCAAGTAAATCGAACATTAAACTAGATATTAATTGAGAAATTGGACACTAACTGATTTCCACTAGCTTTTTCTGTAATGGAGCTTTCTGCAATATCAGCCTCTCTTCTTCTTCTTGTACAACCCTTCGCGATGCTTCTGAAGCTCGACTATCCTCCTTCGCACTAGAAAATAGCTGCTCTTCTTCTTCCTGATCAAAACCAGAAATTTTTTTTAAGGATTCAGGTGATTTTAGTACCAACTACTAACGATTCATGAAATAGGGAAATTATACCCGAATATTAACTCCACTAACTGCAGTAACATCGTTAAGTTGTTCAATGCTTTGATCTGAAAATGCCCCAGATACTTTTTGCTTCTTACTGTTGAGCACACGTTGATTGTATGTGAAAGGATCAAGGAGGTTAATTGTGTGACCCATTTGTCTTTGAATAATCCACGATAAACTTCACTTTCAGGATGTAAAACAAGAGTGAAAGTAGGTTCACCTTGATAAGGGTGGTGAAGAACCAAGTGCTTCAAGGGGCTTCTTCTGGCCAACGGTAGCCTTTTTTTGAAGTGTCCTATTTTGCAATCCAGGAGTAGTTGCAGAAGGAACCTGAGAGCCTAACTGCAAATTCAAAAAAGCAGGAAATAAATTAGTTCGCAAACAGCTGATACACCATAAAAGCAAGCCACCCAAGCATAAGATTAAGCAATGTACATCCTTCTTAAAGATATATAAAGACATAGCATGGATGGGTACATATTCAATCATTTCTTTTCAGAAGGAACATATTCAATCATTTAATACATACTAACTTACACAATTTATCACAATAGACTTATGAAGATAATGCAAGGAAAGTGCTGAACCAGGTGTAAAAAAAAACTCATAAATGAAAAAGAAGCGAAACCTATAGCTAAGTTATAACAAGGTGAATGAAATATAAGGACAGAGAGTCAGTCGGAAAGGCGTAGATCACTGCGGAACATAAAAAATGTGCAGTTGACATAAGCATGCAATATTAACTTTTACAAAATCAAATGTAAGACAGCCTACAGTCTAGCAACAATTACCATAGCACTAGAGTCATGTACAGAAACTGCATCAGACGAAATTGAATTTGCCACGTTGGTAGATGTTGGAGGTATAACATTGTTGGATGTAGGAAAACCCATTTTAGAAGATTGTTTTTCAAAAGAGTCCTTGGAAATTCCTGGTGTTGTGTTAACTTGTTCGGCCTGCACGCTAGAAATAGAAGATAGTCCCTGCAAATTTGAAAGTTGGGTTTTGTTCTGCTCAGCAACCTGATCAGAAGGTTCTTGTTTAATGTAACTCATTGATGACAAAGGGCCTGTGTTCTGCTCTTTACTAGTCGTGGATTTCCAGGAAACTGGATTTTGCTGTGAAGTTAAGTTGTTATGCAAATGTGGAACATTTCCACCCTGCACTCGCTTGGAATCATTTATAGTAACTTGCCTGTCAAAATTTGGAGCCTGCTGGGAAATTTGCTTCACTTGACCCTCATGAGGTTGGGGTTTAAGAGACAATGAAGAGGCATTTATGTTTGACCCCGTATACTGGTGATAACTACCACTGGTTCCATACATGGCAAAAGATTTCTGCTGGAAGTGTAGCTGCTGCTTCTCAAGTCCTGGTACAGGAACTGAGGAGCGTTCCCTTTCCTGAATGGTGCCTGTACTAGAAGAAGTCAACTGATTTCCATTACCATCAGTTCGCTGTTCTACTTCTCGTAAAGATTGCATATTCTTGTCCATCACAGGATAGCCTGAACTACCCCGCCCTTGGGATGCCGGAGAGGGGATGTATGATTGAACTCCAGGAGAATTCATGCCTTTCTGATGAAGTTGTGCAAATGGCCGTGGATCAGAGAAATTTGATGCACCAGGACCCATAGATGGCATTCTAGGAGAAAGTTGCCTTACTGAAGGTGGAGGCTGTAAATGAAAATGGTTAAGATTGGAACCTGAGGAAGGTGACTCATGGACAGACTCTGATTTAATGTAATCAATATAAACATAATAATATCATAATAATAAGAAATCAATCAAGTGCTGACCTGTGATTGCACTTGACAAACTGCTAATCTGAGCATCTGATCCCCAACAACACCCCTCATGAGCCGGATAAAATCATCTTTGTTCATTTCATTTCTCTAAAATACAAGTTACAATTATATGAGACAACCTATACAATCATCAAACTATTTTTCTTAACATATCATATCAAGTCAGAATTTAATAAGATTTAAAAGAGGAGGCACTGTCACACAAACAAGACCCCTTCTTAACTTGTGCGATGTTCTTTAATAAGTAGAGGGTAGATTTTTAGTGTACTTACCAATATACTCGTACATTGATTGATGCATTGTTTATGCATATTACGAAAGAATACAAAATGACATAGATCAATGTAGTTAAGAACAACCGTACTAATTCTCAAACTAAGTCCTTACCATAGGGTGGACTCAGAACAGCTAACTTCAATTTTACCTATGTTGTGACAGTTACAGGCAATAACCAAATGAACTCTGCTCATGTACTTACCTTCAATTTGTTGAATAAAGTCTGAAGCTGCATGGCTCTGTCTTTATCGAGCTGAGGCATCAACACAGGCATCAATGATGCAAATGGCACCTGTTTACTACGATTCACTGAGTTGCTTGCCTGCTCTGAGACCATTGCCTGCTGATTACTCATCTTTTGTAGCTTCAAGTACTGAGATTCATTGTCCCGGTTTGGCATTCTGCTTGAATCATTCACAAGGATTGGAGCTTTCTCTGAACCTTGCAGCCCAGCTGTTTGAGAAAACTGAACAGGAACTTGTTCCACCTCCCCTTGTTCATGATCTGCTTGGGGTTGGTTCTTTGAAGATTGGAGCAGGGGAGCATTATGTTTCTGCTGATTTTCAGGTGCTGATGTGCATCGCTCTAGTTCCATCAGAGACGAATGTTGTTCTTGCTTCAGAAGGAAATTTTGATCTTGTTGCACATGAGACTCAGTATTTTCATTTTGACTAGAAGCTTGCAGCGAGAGGCCAGAAATACTATTGCTCCCTCGAGGGAAGGCTGCATTTTTAGTCACAAATATCATTCAACAATCCCAAATTTCAATCTGAACATCCATTAACCACTCAACGGAAAATTTTATGCTTGAATTTGAACAAATTGTTTTCTACACAATTACAGAAATTTTTCATCATTTAATGAGGGGAAAAACAGCAAATTTTCATCATTTACAAATGCATTTTGAACAAGATATAACAGCAAATTTCAAGATCAGAGGATTTGAAAGGCCAAAATAAAGCTCATGATAAGAAAATGGGTGAAAATTAATTATGGGAACCTAAAATTGCAACCTTTCAAAATCAATGCTACTGTGAAATCTTCACAAAAGTTTCACAACAGAGATGGAGGCAAAGCTATGACAATTGAGCAAGAACAAACAATACCAAAAGGTAAAAATATCTTCACACCAAAATTGTAAATAGGTTTACTCGTCACCAAAACAGTACTAAAATGAGTGTTTTCAAGTTGATTCAACATCCAACTCATTGTTACCAAGATAGGAATCATTTTAACTTGTGAAATAGAAATTTATTCACTAATATTAATATACTATAGGAAAGTCATCATACGTGCATGTAACAGTAAACAACTGGATATCCAGGTAAAACAGATTTTGAATCTCCAAACCACTAAAATTAAAGAAAATTGCTTTCATATACAACACATTTCTGCAAATGCACATTTGGATATGATTTCTACAAATTGTAGCTTCTCTTATTATTTATTCTGACTGATGATACTGTGCTAGCTATAAAATTATGCAACACATATCTATTCATTAAAGTACCACCTCTAAGTTTAGGCTGAAGTATACCTGCATCTGATTCAGAAGTCTGGGAAGGAGCCGGAACATCACCTTCTATGTCTCTATTCAAGGCAGCCTGAAAAGCCTCCACAGCTGCACCTGAATGCATTGTTTCATCCTGGGCACAGCCAAACGTCCAATAGGGTAAAGATTTACAAATGATATCCCATTAATCCTGGGAAAAACGTTTACACAGAAGCACTAGAAGAGAGATAACCTCGTCATCCTCCAGAAGCTTCATAATAGAGGGGTCCATATTAAGCTATATGTGCAATCAACCTGAGCCACCTTACCTTGCTAACAGGCAAACCTGCTTTCCCTGATGGGACTTCTAAAAATTGCTTAGTAAATAACGAGTTGAAAAGTACCTTAGACAACAACAAATCTGCTTTCTCTGAGAAAGAAAGACAAAATGAAACAAATTAGAAGGATACTTAAAAGGAAGATTAACCTAGTTGTTCCTATTCATCCCATTGCCTGTAGATAGAATAGAAAACCAAGTTAGGCAGCCCGTTATGGTCCATACAATTAGAATCTAAATCAAAGTTGGCTCCTACATTCTCAGTTTAACATAGCACAAATTTGGATCATGAGTTTGTAGCATCAAGAATAGTGGTGAATTCAATCCCGTGATGCCAAAAGAAGAGAACTGTTAGGAATATTGTAGGGAAATATTAGAAACTTAATGGAATGGCAAATAGAGTAGCAGATTTTGGAAATGGTGATCCGGGAGACCTAAACCTCTTGAATGCTTAGTACCCTTGAAGTCATAAAAGACAACAGAATTGAAAAGGGGAAAAAAACCAATCAATGAACAAAGCAGATCGAAGTAGAGGGCGAAATTAAATGCCAAAAATTGAATTCCAATTTCATTAAAAACCGACCATAATCAGAGAAAACAAGTAAGTGGAGGAGATGAGTGAGTACTTGAGATATGGGACCGAAATCTGGCGTGAAAATTAGGGGCTCGCAAGAAAGAAGTTGAATCCGAAGAAGAAAGTAGAGATACCGGTGGCGGAGGCAGTGTCGAGACGCTTCCCTGCGTTCCACAAATCGGACGGCCTTCCCAGTTTGCAGAAGAAGAAGAAGAAGAAGAAGCATTAATGGCGTCGCGGCCAAAAGCAACTTTTTTTCTCTACGGGTGTGACTGGGTCGGTCGGTTCGGTTCTCAGACAAAATAATTCGATTCGGTTAATTTAAGAATAAACCGACCGGTTGGTTTTTGGTGTTTTTGGTTTTTGTTTTCCTCTCTGCTCTGCCTCTGCCGACTGTGCCGAAAGAGAGAGTGGGAAAGAGGAAAACAGGCCCATATGAACTGGACAAAAATTAAAATGGTCCCTGACGGGCCTCCAAAACGTATATAGGCCCATACGAACCGCATTAAAATGGGCCCGATGAGCCTCCAATAAATATATATTGTAGATAAGAATACTGATCTTCAGAAAAGATTGATCGTATTGCTCAATTTAGTGTAGATAGCTCAGTCCGTTAAAGCATATATTATGAACCAAAAGACCTAAAGTTCGAACATCCGCTTCACATGTTGAACTAAAAATAGTTGGATTAGTAATAATTAAAATTAAATATTGAACATGAAAATTTCCTATGGATCCTCAAACGACTTATGTTTTTACATATGAACCTCGTATCTTCAGCTATTGGGATCCCACTTCTATACCCACTCAAGATATGCATATTGAACTCGAAGATAACGTGATTCCGTAATTTATTATTTGAGATTTATTTTTATAAATGAGTGGTTCTAGTTTATAAAGTAATATGTTGTGTTATTTCTTGTTCGTGTTTTTGCATCTTTGTAACAGGTCTCTTTATTCCTTTTGTATTTTGATAAAAAAATTAAATGACCAATTTTATAATTTAATCGATTAAAAATTACTCATGATTCCATTTTTGTTCCATAAAGAATAGAGATGAAAATGAGGAGATTTTTTCATTCTCATATCTAATAGAAACCATATAGAGTTCATGAACATCATTTACAGCATTAGCATTGAGCTTATTGCTTAAATTAACTTAAATCTTCTTACTCCTTTCTTAATCTTAACCTTTATTAATTAATATCATCTTTATTATCAAACATGAAAGTAACTAAAATCCCCTAGCAATGGTAACAAGCCAGAAATCTGTTAATTTGCCAAGGCCTTCCAAATGACACCCTCCCCATATTTCGTACATTTAACGACTCGAGCAAAGACGACGGTAACGACGAAGAAGACGAAGACGACAACGACGACACCGAATCTCGAGGAGATGCCATAAACTCGCCGTCCGAGCTCATAAACGAAGAAGTTTCCAACTTATCAGGGTGACCAAAACCATCTCCATTCTCCCTTTTCTTCTCGCTTTTCCTCCAAAACCTAAGGCTCATTCGGAGTCGGGGTCGGGGATTCGGGCGTTCGATGCAGGGTTTCGGTAACCCGAGGCTGAGGACGGCGGGCGGAGGGCTGAGAGGGGGAAGCATTTCTTGAGGGGGAGGATCCTTGGGAGTTCCTGGCTGTGTTTCCCATTTGAAAGGGACTCCTTCAGCTGTTCCACAGTAATAAATGCTGCGAGAAGAACAGCCAACTGAGGAGGTTCTTGATATCACTTTGCTCTTTGTATCCCAATGAAATTTTCCATCCATTTTCTCTCAAATTTTCCTGAGAAAGTGACAGAGATGTTGATTGGATTCTGTGTGGGGATTTGGTTGGTTTTATGGCAGTTTTGAGTTTTGAGTTTTTTGAAGTTTTGTATAATACCAAGGAATTGTGTTGAGGTTATATATATATATATAAAGAAAATGCCAAAATTTCAGGATTTTGATGGGGTTTTGAGGCACATGATCCTGTTCTTGTGAGGATTAAAATGTAAGTTATAACAGGTGTAAAGTTTTCTTTCTTCTTTTTTTGTTGTTTTTTTTTCAAGTTCTTGCTCTCATGGTTTCTTCTTATTTGAGATATTTCTTTTCCTTTTCTTCTTTTTGTTTTTTCTTTTGGGAATTTTAATTTTGTTACCTGAAAATAAAATCATGACTTAGTTCTTGCGATCATAGGAGTAGAAGACTCTAAAATAATCAACCAAACCTATTAAATTGAATCGATTAATTAATTTGACTACTAAATGAAAATCTAAGTTCTAAAGTTGAACCGTTTAATTTAGTTGATTTCGATTGGTTTCGATTGATTTTGATTGATTTGTTTGGTTTCTTCAATTCAAAATCAAATTTGACGCACCAAATAACACCAATCTCGTCAATCTTAAAAGAAAGTAAACATAGATTCTTTAAACTCACGGGTCATAAATACACCACATGAAACAAAGGTATTCATATATTGGAGTTTAAGAAATAAACTCCAAAAATAATATAATTACAAAGTAGCCCAAACTAAGAAAATGAATAATAAGAACTCGTAAATAAATTAGTTTTTTATTAATCAATTATAAATCATCGGCTAACATTAATTTTATTAATAATTAATACATTTTCTTTAACTAGTTTTTGTTATCAATGATTAGTACATTGTCTTTAATTATGTGGAAATCTTTTCCCCAAAAAAGAAAAAACTGAAATCATTATTTCACCTTTTGGTAATGAATGGCCTAGCAAGATTATTGATATCGAAATAATAAATCAATTATTGATGTCATGTATTTAAAAAAAATAAAAAATAAAAACTACAATCTTTTAAATATAAAAGTATTCTTTAAAAATTCTACAAAAATTTGGCCACTCACCTCAAATTCTTTGACAATCATTTTGTCTTTTTTTTTCCTAACTTGATAGTAATCATTTTGTTTTTTCCTAACTTGATAGTAATAATTTTGTNTTTTTAACTTGGAAATATTACTTTCGCTCCTGTATATTCTTTTGTTGTTTAGCATCTATTTTCTAAAATTTAAGTCCAAGGCCAACTTTAAAAACTAAGAAAAAAATTATAAACTTAGTTTTTATTTTTTAATTTGGTTAAGAGTCGGAATGTGTTTTTCTAAGAAAAGTAAAAGACATACCAAAAACAATGTGAACAAACCAGACTAATTTAAAAAAACACAAAACTAAAAAAAAGTTATCAAACGTGACCTTAACATTCACAATCTTAATAAATCTAAGTTTGTTACTAGAGTAAGGAAAATTTAAAAATTTTGTGATTGAGTAATGTCATAAAATAATTATAGAACCCTATCTAGAAAGTAAAATCTGTATTTGTTACATGGATTTATAATTTTGTAGGAAAAAATAATGTAAATTTCATAATGGCCCATAGGATTTAGCACCTTATAATTTAAGATAAGCAAACTCATTCAACATAACCACAACTTCTAATTTCGAGTTACACATACCAGCAACCCAACCTAAAAAAGGCATAAAAAAACCTTATCTAGGTTGGAACTATGAAACTGAYCTTATTATTATTCAAAGGGTAAAGGGAGTTCACGCCGCCCGCCCTGAACAAATAGGAGGTTAACTTGTGACTAACGTTATCTCCCACCCTTGAGGCTTAAAATAAGGACGAGTCGGTCACCAAAAGTGGCACTTTTTAATGATTTGACTTAGTAGGAGTTGACTTGCAAAATGTTTGAACTTGATTATTTTACAAAGAAGACTTAGAAGCAAAGCAATCCATTCTTTTTCATATAATATTGGGACCCTTCAAGTTAAACCAATGCATCTGTATCTATTTCAGAAAACTTAGAAACTAAATCTAAGTTTTTTAAGTTGCCCTAGAATGTTTCTGTCTTGTGTAAGATATCGATACGACAGTTATGTGATTAAAGAGCGTGTACAATATTAAAGGGAAAAAAAAAGTAACTTGAAATTGCTTTAGTTATTTTGCTTTGGTCTTTCAAATTTTCAAATAACTTATTAGGATAGGTTTAGGTTTGATAACATTTATATTTCCCATTTCTCATTTTCAACTTTTTTAGAAGCATGAGCATTTGATAATTCTTATTTCTCATTTCTCATTTTTTAAGAAACGTTACCAACATTGTGCAGAAGTTTTTCAATTAAAAAACAAGAAACAGTTACCAAATATAGTTTTATTTTTCTCTATCTAAAAAAAATAGAAACAAGAAACTAATAATGAGAAATGAAAATACAAGAAACGTAAACATTCTTTAAGGAAAAAAAGTATCATTAATGTTCCATTACTAATTTAATAGCAATTTAAATCAATTTCAAAACCCAAAACCTAACCCATAAGTGTGTTTAGTACTTCTCCAAAAATAGGCATCTACACATCGGTAAATGAATGAATGAACCAAAAAACCGTCAACAAGCAATTGCAAAATAATTTATAGAAAATTAAAATTAAGGATTAGTGAATTTGCATAGAAAGTTCAATGAGTCGAACAAAATGGTTGAAGATTTATAGACCAAAACAAAATAAATCCGAAATTTCAATAATCTTACATCTAAGTTCTACCAAGAGATCTAGAGTTCGAATCCCCCACTCCTATTTGTTGTACTCAAAAATAAAAAAGGAAAAAAAAAACTTCTTTCAAAATATAACATTACAAACGTGGGGGAGAAGATTTTAACTAAGAAAGGCAACTGACATCTTAAACAATTAACTTATGTTCGAGTCTATAACAAACTACTAAATATTGATACAAATGTCTATATCGTGATGATAAGGAATAAACAGGCAGAAGACCTGAAAATCTCTCAAGTTAACTATAAACAACGTGTGTATTTTGTTTAAAATGCTTATGGAAAACTAGGAGCATTTTGTCCTTAAATCGGTAGTGTTTGGTTAAAATTATAAATTAGAAGCACTTTTCTAAAACCTTAAAAGTATTTTGAGAATTTCAAAAAGTTAAAATAACTCAAAAGTGCTCTTAGACGAAGCTTTAAATTAGCCTCTTTCCAAACGTACTTTTTTCAAAAGGCATCCCAAAATATCGTCCACAGGTTTTTCCGGAATATATCTTTCGGTAAAACAAGCATTTAAGGAATGGTGCAAATGGATTTTCCAGAAACCTAATGCTCTATAGCCCCCATGGTTCTATTGGTCCTTCATCCCCATTTCTAAGTCTCCTATACACATATACAGGCTTTCCTGGATTTTTTGGTTTGTGTCCTATAAAATTTCAGAAATTGATGATATAAAAACAAAAAATTAACATAAATCGAAGTCGTGTGGAAGTCGCGAGCATAATAATTTAAATGGAGAAAGCTACATACTAATTACACTAGTAATTAAGGTTAGAGCTATATATGACTTTAGTGTATGAATCAAACAAGCAGAACAAGTTTCCTGCATCAACTGGTTAAGAATTGCTATACAAAAAGACAGCTCTTACTCGTTTTCGTGTTTCTGCAGCCACTCCAACTATGTAATACTCTATAGCCGCTGAGCTTGTTTGTTTCCTACTCCCTGCACGTGTGACCAGAAAGAAAGAGGACAATTTAACAAGATGAGGTCTAAAGTGGGCAACAGAATTACAGATTAGAGCAGAGAAGACATCGTCTATAAGAAAAACTGGTATGTCGTTAATACGATATTAGAGTAATAGCATTAATCATATATTCAGTGAAAAAGCATTCCCACATCTTGAAATAAATAAAACACAACTGATTTTGAAACAAGTCCATTGCATTCTAAAAGCATACTTGCACTATTTTGCATTCCTGTTTATCACAACCAAGAATATCAGATGAATTGGAGGACGGCCATGGGACTTCAAACTTTATCCTGCGTATTTATACTTCTCATTTTGGCTTAAAGTCGTGTATACTAGATTCTCTTCTTTTTTTTTAAATAAGAAATCGAATTTTTCATCGAGGCAAATGAAAATAGAAAACACAGACAAGGGCATACAAAAACAATAGCCCTTAAAGGAGGAGCCTTGCCTAAAGAAAGGTTCGGTATTAGATTCTCTTATTATATCTATTGTGTGGTTCTCTTAGTTTATTTTCTGAGGCTTTCCGCATAAAAATCTTTTTTGTGAACAATTATGCCACGTTTCCACTTGATTGTCTTCATACCCACAGAAAGTGAACCCCACATTCTTTCCTCAAAGTCAATGGAAAATATGTTCTGGAAGAAATAATAGAATTTTCAAATTGGATGATAGATGTTTTAAAATTTTGTGAGAGATCAGTTTTCTTTCTTTCTTTCTTTTCTTTGAGTTTTTTACATATGTTCTTTTGTAGCGATAATTTCTCATCTATTATGCCAATTGAAGCATCTAGTGAAACTCCTTTGTCTCTTGCTTGTATATCTTCATTTGATCAATGAAATTATACCGTTTCTTTTCTTCTTTTTTTCAATTATTTTAAAAAGATCATGATTCCTCAACATTTTAGAATTGGCTTACTTTGATACATACAATTAAATAAAATACTAGATATGATACAATTAAATTTAGAAAAACAAACGACAAAAAGTTTGTGTGGTTGACAAGAATCTGAAGGATACCTCAGTGGGAGATGAAATGATGGATTCTCTCCCAGAATCGAAAGGACTATTAAGATTCCTGCAAAAATATTCGAGGTATATCAAATTAAATCCAAACTACATTAAGATGTATAAGTATATACATTAATACCTTGGCCTCTCAGACTTGGCAAGATGTTTAGACATAATTGATGCCTGCAATAGATGCCAATTTGTACTGTTATTAGGTACTAAAAACTTTACCTTATCCAGAAAAGGTCATTAATATTTTGATTTGCTCAGGTGAATAAAAGAAACAATATATGGCATGGCACAAGTTAGTCATAAAAGCTGGACAATCATTGAATCTAAGACCTTAACACTCAGAGAGAACTGCAGTCAAAATACTAGATGTAAGAAGATTTTTTTTTCTTTCAAACAAGCAGCAGTTTTACCAGCACACCGAATTCAGAGAGATGCATGCTTCAAAGTGCAAGACCTTCAGATCAAGACGACCAATCACAAATTGCACTGGCTTAAATAATTTGAATTTTTCCACATTACATGATCAGTCAAAAACAAATTCAATGTCATAAAAAATATATTTTTAATGAAAAACACAACTTTCATTGAGAAATGATGAAAGAATACAAGAGGACAATTCAATGTCATAAACGTTAAAAGATATACAAAGTCCAAAGATTTTTTTTTTTTCTTGAGGTGTATGAGAAAGAATTCTTTTTGGATAAAAATGAGAAGTTTTAAAACAACTGAAAGAAAAAAATACAATCCAAAGCTACCATGAACATGCAGTATGCACCATAAATGACAGACAAACATGTATTCAACTGAGCCTTGAAAAACACACGTCGTTATGCTCAAAATAAAATTGATACAAAATGTAACCATAGAATACAACGAAGAGTGACACATTGGAGACTTGGGAGAAGCTCACGGAGATCAAGTAGGAAACTTATGAGAATCTCATTGAAATTGAAGATATAATACAAATTTTGGTTTGCTTAGCAAGAAAAATAAAGTACCTGCTCCTGGATTATGCTCCTTGCCTCTACAAGTTGTGCTTCTAACTCAAGTTCCCTCTCAGTAGCTTCTGAAGTAACTTCAGCTCCTTTCTGAGCATCTTGCAGCTGACCCATCCGCTCCTTCAAATTTCAAAAAACTTATTAACAAGTGTGCATCTCTGTCTAAATAAGAAGGATGTAGTATGAATAACAAATCACCTTTATAGAAGCCATCTTATTTCGAAGGCTCTCTTCAATCTTATCTCTTGCCATATGAAAGGGAAGGTCAAAAACATCCTGCAATTAAACAATGCTAGCCTTATTACCAACTCATCAATCGGGCAAAAGTGAAACCACAGGAGCATAGTTCAGCCCATACCGTCCTCCCACCAAATGGAGACTGTGCACCTTCACTCTCAACCCTTTCATTAAGAGCAAGGGGTTGCTTAGGTAGTCCATTCGGGGCATTTATGAAATCCCGCATATCAACCTGCAAGCCAATATACAACCTAAACTGAACACCCATTGGCATAGACAAGTATAGATGACAGTTACAAAAGCATAACTTAAAAACATACCACAAAGCAGACTATTTAAGAGTGAAAGTAACCAAAAAAGATGCAGGTCAAGAATTCAAAATACAAAGCAAAGACTCTACTTTTAGTGATAAGGGAGAAACAGAATCCATTGAGAAATAATAAAATATTCAGGAAATCAGTTTAAATAAGTCAAACGCATGCACAATGTCACAAACTACCATCATAGAGATCCAAAAAGTTAAGATATCCTACCAATTGACTAACAAGGTGTGGGAGTACCAGCCATACATATATAAAAGATGAATGTCTACGAGGGATTGTAATATTTCCAAAAAAATGTCAGGATCCTGAAGTTAAAGTGTAATAAAAAGTAATGTTTTTGACATCAACACCCATGCAATGTAGTGTTTGAAGAGACTCTTAGATTCTCTTGTACTCCATCTTCTAGACTTGTGAACTACCATGGCCTTCCCTCAGAGGAAATCCCCACTGGGTGTCGTGTAGCCCTTGGGTTGGAGAGAGTTAGCGGGTAAAGTGCAAATAGGAGAATCTCTTGCCATCCTAGAGGAAGGCTCAATCTTATTCAAGCAATATTACCCAACATGCATCTTCATTTCCTCTCCCATTTTTAACTACCCAAAAAAATATATTTCTTGTGTTGGAGAAAATTTTTAGAGACTTCCTACGGGAAGGGTCAGGTACCTCAAAGTGTCCCACCTTATAAATTAGAAGATAATTATAAATGGTCGGAGACCTTCCTCCTCTGTTAACAGGAAACAATACAAACTTGTATCAAGAGCACAAAAAAGCAAAAACAGCTTAAATGCCATGGGGCAAGATGTTCCAATGTCACAGACCTGCATTGATCGCAACAATGCCTTCAAATCAGCATTTTCTGACATCAATTCTTGATTTTTAACTTCATAAGCATCCACCTGACCATGAAATGTTTGCAGGATTCAGGAATATTGTAACCACTAAAAGATCACTAAAAAGTGAGGCTCACTTTCAAATATTTCTATAAGAATGTAAGTTATTCACATACTATCTTTTTATAGAAATCATTATCAGTCTTCTTGCCATTCCAAGTTCCCCGTTGCCGCCCTTCTTTCTGCTCATTTCATAAAAGCCATTACATGAAATGATCCATTATATTACAACATTAATAAATAATTAAAATATACCTGTAGCAGATTCATTATCTCCATTCCAGATCTAGATTCTTTCTTTTTCTCCATTAAAACTTGGTTTAGCCTTTCCTGCAGAGACATACAACAACTTCTCTTTTAAATAGTATTTCAACGTGAATAAAAGAAAAACTAAGCAAAAACTAATGCCCAACAGAATCCAACCCTACGACAGAAAAGCATCTCATAGATATCCCACCTGCAATTTGATGTAGTCCTTTTCTTTCTTCTTCATCTCATGTATTTGTTGAGTCCTTACTTGCTTTGGTCACATAAACAGAGAGAAAATTCCGTCATCAATACTGAGACTATCGCACAGAAACTAAAATATGTCTCGCAGAATCTAACTCCCTAACCTGATTGCCAATGACCATTCTTTGAAATTCATCCTTTTCTTGCTGTAGCTTTTCAATTTGAGCTTTGAAAGCTGCCTTAGCTTTGGTGTCCTAATGTGAAAGAAATTGCTCGGTCAATAAGAATAAGAAAAGGGAATCATAGAATTTACAAAAGTCCCAAGATTGTACTGTTCGTGTAATTGTTGCTATCTCCCTATCTTTAGCTTGTATTACTGACTCCAGCCTCTCAACTTTAGTCTCCAATCTTGATATGTCCGAAAGTAGTCTGCAGCAAGACAATAAAGGGAGATGTGGGCAAATATAAAGATAAGTTGATATGGCAGTGTTTCAAGAGCCCATGAGGCGAATTAGAATAAGACACTCCATCATACAAGTGAAAGAAAAAAACTACATAAACAATAAATGTTTCAGATCACTTCAAGTGATTGATAAATCAAGTGATTTGTTGACTGTTCGAGAATATTGTGTTCATGTTTCCTATTCTTGGGTTCTGCTAGATAAATCTTTAAGTAACTGTGAGCTTTCTGTGAGATGTTACTCCTTCGATTTCCATAGGCTGATGCCAGTTCCATTTTGTTTATCAATGAAATTGTTTCCTATTAAAATTTAAAAAAAAAAAAAGATAGAGAGAATAGGAAAGTGCTAACAATAAACATTGATACCCCTACCAAACAGCATATATTGATGAGTTTTTTAGCACAGACGTACGAATTCATTCATAATTTAACCGTTCGGTGATATCATACGCTATATGAATTCTGCAAAAGTGCTATTACCTTTGTCTCTGTTCATTAGCAGATTCCCTATACTCAATGTCACGCTGTCTCTGCTGAAGCAAGAAATATATACAATTGCAAGTCCTCGCAATTGACACCTACAGATTTCAGTGGACATATCAAACGCAAAATAATTGCTCTAAACAATGAAATGAAAAGAAAAAACAAAAAACAAAACGTGCTCATTGCCTAAAAGGTCCAAAACAAACCGGATCATTCGAGAACAGATCGAGCGAAGCTGGAAATCCAAATGTGATAAGCGTCTGGTTCAAATACTTAGCGCAGTGGTCCAAATTAGTCACATCCGCAAATGTATAGTCACTGAATCACACACAAAACCTCAACCATCAACACATTAAGCCTATACACTCGTTACACTTACATCCGCTACAAAATCGACAAAATTCCAAAAGAAATATGAGTAGTAAGCCCTAAAATGCAGAGGAAACTAACCCGACCGAGTATATAGACTGCGGAGATGGCTGCAAAAGGAAAAAGCAGAACACAAAAGAAACAGCAACAGAGTGAGACAAAAAAACGAGAACAAATGGACTGGTATTACTATTACCGGAATGTGAGAGCTGTGGAGGATCTTACTCTGAGATCAAAGTCTGTTTCCGTCGCTGCCATTGTTGAAAGCTTCTAGAGAGAGAGAGGGGAGAGAGAGAGAGAGAGAGTTACGGGACTTGTTGGGACATGGAAGAGCGAGAGGCTGGATCAGGTGGATAGATCCACTGCGGAGCGGTGGAGGAATTTAAGAGGGAATATATACGAATTTTCGAGAGTTTGAAGAGAAGGAAGCGGGTGGTAATTTTCCGTTAACGGACACCGTTTCCATTTTGTAGTTGTGAGCTATGGTTTGAAATAATCATGTGTGGTGACGTTCACTAACTTCTCCTGCACTACTTTTTTTTCCGGAATATCAAAATGAAAATCAATCAAAATAAAAATATTATTTATTATAATTTTTCTGGGATTTTTATTTAATATTTACTAAAATTATCTGATATATTATAATTGCCAGTATGTACTTTCTTAGTTTGGCTAAAGTAATATTCAGATTTATTTTATTTTACAATTACTGATAGTACATACTTTTTATTACAATAGTTTATTTACTGTTGACAAATCTTAAATTATTAAAATATTTTTTTTTGGATCAGTCATTAATATAAAATATTATTATATTTTTTCTTTACATTATTAAATTTTATTATTCTAATATTTAATGATAATGAATTATATTTTAACAAATTTATTGATATTAATTAATAATAACAATTTTAAATTAAATAATTAAAATTTTAAATATAATTTTATAATATTTTATAATAAAAATTTGTATATATTTTTATTAGGATAAAAATTATTAGTATTATAAATAAACAAAGATAAATTAAAAAGTTAGATGAGAGATAAATGAACAAGGTTGTAAAATAATTAATAAAAATGTGTGGGGCTCCAAAAATAAGGAGTAAACAATTCCCTTTTTTTACTAGTGATTCTCGAATTTGAGGTGGGTCTCAATTTATTTCATTTAAACACAATGACATTTTTATTATAATTCTTTCATTTATTTTGCAATTTAGACCCTTACATCTCAATGTTTTTCAATTATAACCTCATAGTTTAAGAATTTGAAAATTACCTATGTCAACAAAAATCTAAAGGAGGAATTGTGGTCTAGAGAGGACAGTTGTTAATTATTCCTCCACAAGCTTTTAATATATCTCTAACTTATAAAAAATAATTATTAATCGTTAAAAATTATGGTCGTATTGACATGATACGCGTTCATAAATTGAAAAAAATGAACTGTCAATAGTATAATTTTTTTCTTTTAGGTCAATAGTATAATTATTCAATATTTTTTTAATATATTTTATAATAATTATATTCTCAATTTAAGTATCTCTCATGCAATTATTGCACTAAGATTAAAGTAATGCTTATTACTACCCACTTGAAAATAAGACATCTAAGCTTTCAAATTTTTTACAACACTTTTTCTTTTTAACTCTTTTTAGCTATCCTCAACGTTTAGAAAATGTAAACAATCATACTTTTTAAAAAAATAATAATAAAAAAATTAAAACAAAATCATTCCCGAATGAATGAGAGGAAGTCAATTTGAAGTAAACATGATGAAATAAATCTCCACGTAAGTTGTTTATGATGTGAAAAATCAAAATCAAATAATTATTCATTATTAAAGTATGACATCCATCATGTATTTGTCCTCTCATGATGAATTTAAAAGAAGACGTGTCATAGAAAAAAAATCAACATGAATAAATTTTAAAATATTTTTAAGAATTGTAAGTACATTTTTAAAAATCAACACGAGCAAAACGGAGTGATTAATACATGTATTCATTTACCTGGAAGTTTAAATATCTACCATATTTTTATATTAAAAAATAATAATAATAAGTGAAACTTTTAAATTATAGGAAGAAATTAAAACCAAACAAAACCCCCCAAAAACTAAAATGGAAAATTGACAAAATTTAGATATATTTTAAACATAAGCTGACAAAACTCGAGCATTAATCAATAATAAAAAAGAAGTCTTTAAAAATAGGAAAATATTTCCCCAATAACAAGTAGACAAATTTCGGCTTTCTTTTCCTTTCTCATTTATTAACGGTTAATATCTCTTATTTTGTCTCTTCCCTCTTCTCCCTATGTTGCATCACATTTTTTTTCATTTTTCTCCGTTCCTATATATATATATATATATATATATATATATATATATATTTCAATTCAAAATTTCGCTAAAAAAATTCTAATTTACTATATATTTTTGTACATATATTTTATATTGTTTAATGTATCTCTTCAAAGAAATTTTCATTGTTAAAAAAAAAATTCTTACATTTTTTTCCTTGTCACAAACAAAACAACAAAACTTAGTATGTTTTTCACGATCCAAAGTACATTGAATAGAAAATTTTAATTTAATTTTTAAACAAATATTTATCTTTTAGTTTATCTTTTGTTTCTCATGTTTTTTACATACAAAAGGATACTTTAAATTGAAAAAAATAGACTAGACAAATGAATAAGAGAATGTAAAATAAAAATAGTTAAAAAAATAGAGATAAAATTTGTAAGGCTCCATAGAAGAGAGAAAAATGAAAAATAAGAAATTGGAGGAGATATGAAATTAAAAAAAAAAAGGACAGAGAGAGAAAATTGAAAGGAGGAAAAATATGGGATAGATATTGAAATTTGTTGATTGCATTTAGGAGCACGTGCTCTTAATTTTCAAGAGCCAAGTTTTGTTGTTAAAAATAAACAGGTAGTTGTGTCATTTGCGAGTTCGCTCCATCCGTAGCATCGATCTGGCGACGTGGCGAGTTGTGATTGGATGTTGGCTATGGACACACGTTACCATGCCGCACAGGACAAGATCTCCTCTTTCTTCGTTAAAAGAAAAATATTGATTTCTAACCTCTTTAAAATATAAATTTTTGGTCCCTGAGGTTTGAGACAGGTGTTTATCTGGTCATAAAGTTTCAAAATAAATATTTTTGGTCCTGAGGTTTGAGGTAGGTGTATATTTGGTTTCTGAAGTTTCAAAATGAACATGTTTAATCCTTAAGGTTTAAATTAGGTGTCAACTTGGTCCCTGAAGTTTTCAAATGAACACTTTTGGTCCATGAAATTTAAGAAATAGTTCTAAATGGTCCCTGATTTTTTTTACTGTTAATTAACTAATATTAAAATGACGTGACAAATAGTAATTAAATTATTTATTGTAGTTGCTAACGTGATAAATTATATTAATTAAATAATATACGTGTAGGTGATGATATTTTCTCTCTCCTATCCTCATCTATTCCTCTCTCTTTCTCCTACCCTTGTAACCACCATGTCTTTATCGCCACCGTCCGCCGTTCATATTGGACATATATTATTTTATTAATATAATTTGCCACATCACTAACTACAATAAACAATTTAATTACAATTTGCCACGTCATTTTAATATTAGTTAATAACAGTAAAAAAAATTAAGAACTATTTAGAACTATTTCTCAAATTTCATGGATAAAAAATGTTCATTTTAAAACTTCAAAGATCAAGTTAACACTTAATTTAAACCTCAAGGACCAAAAGTGTACATTATGAAACTTCAAGGGCCAATTAGACACCTACCTTAAACCTCAAGGACTAAAAGTGTTCATTTTGAAACTTTAGGAACTAAGTAGACACCTACCTCAATTTTCGGGACCAAAAATATATTTTCCCCTAAAATATATATATATTTGATTGGATCGGTAAATGGCGCCAAAAACACGTAAAAAGGAGTGAGCCATTGGGTTAAAAATAAATTTAAAAGTTAAAAAGCAGACACGTTTTTCCACTAACTGAGCGACCAAAAAGCCCAAATCTCCTTTTTTAAGTCATATCCACACAAAAAAAGAAAAAACACTATTTTACTTTCATTTTCATTTTTATCTATGTTTTTTAGATACATTTTTATCTCATTTAACATCTAATAATTTTTTAAAATATAGTCATAAATTTGAATTACATGTTCCTATTATATAAACAATTTTTGTTAAAATTTTACAAATATAGACTAAAATTACAATTTTTTCAAAAATACAAATATCCAAATAGACTGTTTTGAAAAGTATAGACACTAATGAATGAAAATATAAAAACCAAAATAAATCAAAGTCGAAAATACAAAGACCACTATAATATTTAATTTGACTTAGGAGCAAATAGTAAAATTCCAATTAAAAAATACTTATTATTACCACATTTAAGGTCAATGGTTTAATATCTCTTTCTATAATTGTCGAACTAAACAAATCAGTAGAAGGCTAGAAGCTCAATTATGAATTGTAGAAATTTTTTTGATTATCAATTTGGTCATACAGCTACGTCTGTTGGGTAAAAACTTCCAAAGAAGTGATCATTTACCAAATAGAGATATGAACCCCTCATAGCTGAGTCGTCGACCATTCTTGAAAGTTTGCATTTTGCGAATTGAATGTCGGAAGATAAAATATGGCATATCATGTGGACTAATAGAGATAGACTTGTCTCACAGCACTTACAGGTACCAAGCTTAGTGGCTTGATGATTAGCACTTAAGCTTCATAATGCATGTACGAGGGAAGGGCAGAGGATGTAGAAATGATAAGGGGTGTTTACGGATTGGTCGGTTCGATCGGGTTAAGAGAGTTTTTTGGACCAATTCGAATTTAATCTTTCAATTACGTCTTGTTTCATGTTAATTTAGCATACACTCAGTGCAGTTATAGAAACTACTAGATGTGTATAAACCAACTCAAGGCTCTTAGAGAAGGGCAGAGGATGTAGAAATGATTAGGTAAGTGTAAGTTGGAGATAAGTTGTCTAGACATATTAAAAGCCACATAAATGGAGCTGTATTGATCCTTTATTTCGGTATTTGCTGATATTTGCGCCTTTCTATATTAAGAGTGATGGTTTAAATGAAAGCCAATTTGGTGACGTTACACTCCAGGCGATGAATGCAATCACAAAGGTATAGTATAAAAGATTAAAAGTAGTAGTTGTTATCATTTTCAGGATAATGATAATTATTATATGTTGTAGTCGGTCTATTTGTAATTATTTTCGGGTGATGAGAGAATCGAAATATCCGAATTTCATGGCCAATCCAACCCAAAAATTTCAAGTGGGTCGGGTTGGATGAGAGTTCATATATCACAAAAGGCTACGAGTTGTGCGATGAGCGTAGCTAGAAGAGATAATAACAGAGGAGGAAGAAAATTGTATTCAGTAAATGAATGACCAGTGGTTTATATTAGACCAAAGGGTGGTGGCGACGAGCGGACCTGCTTCACGGCAACGAGTGATGCGTCATGGCTACGGACGACGAACATCTCTCATTTGTGGCGGCGATGAATGATTTATTTCATGGCAACAAGCAGCTCTTCTTCCTACAGCGATGAACGATCTACTTCACAACGATGAACGATGCATTTCTACAGGCGATGACGGCGACTGAGATGAAATCAATATGACAAGAGAAGAGAGATTGAGAAATCAAGATGACGAGATGGAGGACAAAACGAGAAGGAGAAGAGGCCGCTTGAGATCCCAAATTTTGAAACAAAATGAAAGTATGAAACCTTAAGATTCAAAGTAATGAAAGGTTGGGATTAAAAGTAAGTGAATGGGTGAGATTGAAAGTTGTTATATAATTATATATTTATAATATAAAACTAATATATATTTATAATTTCAGTTTGGTTCGGGTTGAATCGGTTTTTTTGTCCATCCACGAATTGAATCGAACTGCTCGGTTCACAAAACCTGCAACTCAACCCAAACCGAGATCATTGTATATAACCCAACCCAAGGGTTGGGTTCTTCGAATTCTCGATTTTTTTGAACACCCCTAGTGATATAACAGAACGGTCTCCCCTTGACTTCTATAAATATGCACTCACTCTTCTCAATCAGGTATGTTATTCTATCTCATGTCGATATATTCAGCTTGAATACAGACTGACTTGAGCTTCGAAGTATTTGTTATTTCTGTGGAGGTCTTCCCTTGCATAACTCGCTCATTTGTAACTCGTCAAAGTGGAGATTGGCCAATTTTTGATACTTCGTAGAGTTCAACATCAACAACGATAGATCAATAAATTTTTATGTGGTATCCGCTTTGTTGTCAGCATTAAAATTGATCTAGAGCGACCATAAATCTATTTTTTGAATGGCTAGCTAGATCATAGACATCAAAATCCTCATCACATAATTAAGTCAAGGTATTTCTTAGTGTAGATAGGGTAGTCCATAGTGTTGTAAATTATATAATTTGCAATATGCTATTTCCTCTCGTAATTGTATTTGGTCAGAATCGTTCATTTGGTAGATTTCCAACTTAAAATAAATAGTTTTAGATTTCTAGTATCTTCGAAGTGAATGCATCTTCCATCACAAAATAATAATAATAATAATAACAACAACACTATTAACAAGGTGTACTAACTATAATTAGAGTTGAAAACTAAATGCAATAATTAAAACTTTTGGAAATTAAAGTACGGTAAAGATACTTGTATTGAATTGGATGAACTTAAATTGTAATCGAACATAAATCCAAATCAAAGGAAAAAGAAGAAGAAAATTATTTAGTTCTGAATTTTATTTGGTAGAGCTTTTATTGCAAATCTTGCGAGTATGATTGCTCCACGTCGAAGCATGCTAGAATTCTCCGCGTTTTGGACCTCGCATGGTTGTCGTTTCCTTAAACGGCATAAAATAACAATAACAATAATAAATAAATAAAGCAAAAACAAAAAATGGAATTATAAAAGTTTGGACCCAAAATTATTTAATCCTTTTTTTCCTTCTAGATTTAGCGTTTCTTGTTTTATAGCGATTAGCGAGCTTGGGATCTCTTTTCTTGTTTTATAAATATATATATATATCTTTTCTTGAAAACGTAACTGAATTAAACATTTTTAATAAATATTTTGGACATAATTAATTTCTTAAATTACTTTTGATGGTCGAAAATTTTAAAAAGTGTTACGTCTCTTTCAAATTTTAACCTAACTCGACTTAATTTTATAAAAATACTTTTGGTTGTTCATAACTATTCATACATTAAACGTCTAATGCTTCATCTAAAAATATCTTAAGGAGTCGTTTGTTTTTTAGAATGTAAATGCTTGGCATCTACTGATGTCTGGAATTTCAAATGTCCGACATTTTCAGATAACTATGTTTGTTTCGTAGGAAAATTTATTAAGGATGTTCGAGAATATTTGGATAGTCAAGTTTGTTTTGTAGGATTTGTTATTGGAAATGTGTTAAATTTATAGAATGCTCCAAAAATGCATTCACAAATACTCATATAATTTATAAATTCATTTAATATAATAGGTTTATTTGAATTAATTTAATATTTTGTTTTTTTATATGTTGTTTTGTAGAGCAAATTAATTCCTATTAATTCAATATATATTCCATTTTCAATTTTAATATTTTCAAAAAAGACAATCATATAATTGGTATTATATTGGGTAAAATTTATTTATCTTACTGTCATATTATATTTTTTTAAGAGTAAAAATATTGCAGATATATTGGTCGTAAAAAAAATTGTTGCTTTAAAATTATACATTTATGATAATAAATATTATTAATAATATAATTCCTTCCAAATATTAAAAATAAATTGAGATATTATATAATTTAATTGCAATTTATTTTATATGTAAATGTCATGTACAAATATATTTAATTGCATAAAATTGCTTATTAAACAATGAGTTCATTAATTTATTTAAATTAAAAATTTAAAAATAAAATAAATAAATTTTGGGAAAAAATAAAGAAAGCTAATGAAAGAAAATATATGGAAAAAAATGAAGGGTAAAAAATGTAAAAGAGTGGATGTCCCAATATGAAAATCTTGGATATCCACGTTTTAAAAGGGCTTAAACCACTGTTATTAGATAATATAATATACAGTTACTAAACTTCGTTTTTCATTGATAAAAATATATAGTCTATGTTTTTAACTTTAAACTCCCAGGATTTCAACTTTTGCAGTTACTAAACTTTATTGCGGTCAGTAATAGGTGACATAACCACTTGAGCTATACTCGGTCAATTATTCTATTCATTAGGTAACTTGAATAAGTTAATTTAATTATATTAATTATTAGATATTAATCGTACTAAAAAAGGGAAATTATTAGAGATTGATTTTCGACATTTCATTCATTAGTTAGTGGTTACATTTTAAATGCCATTTTAGAAAGCGACCCCACGAACAAATTATGTTGAAATTGGAGTTTGCATTGTATTGGATGAGATTTATTTCGTTGGTTCTTTTTTAATATAAATGGTGATAGGGTGGGTTTTGTTCCAACGAGTACGGGTTACGTCAAGGTGACCCGCTCTCATCGTATTTCATCGTATTTCTTGTTATTATGTGCTTGGGAGTTTTTTAGCATGCCGTATCGGGTCGAGTCCAAGCATCTTATTTCGTGGCTTCCTTTGTCGAGAATTGACCTTCTGGTCTCTCGCCTATTTTTTGTTGATGATAGCTTATTATTTTTAAGGCCTCTCGAAGTGAAAGCCAGATGATTTTGGATCTTTTATCTTTGTATGATCAGACGCAAGACAAATAATAAATTTTGATAAGTCTTTTGTATTCATTAGTATTAATACTCCTAAGGTTTTACGGGAACCTTGTCATCATCAGTATCTTGACTTTCTTACTTTTATCCCGCAGAATAAATGGGGTCGTTTGACTTTTGTGAAGGACAAAAAACTTCAAGGGATGGAAAGGGAAAACTCTTATCTATCAGTCGGAAGGAAATTATCCTGAAGTATGTGATTCGGGCTATTTCATGTTATACGATGAATTATTTTAAGCTTTCGAAAATTCTTCTCCATGAAGCTCATACGATTATGAGTTGGCTATGGTAGGGCGAGCTGGATGAGGACCGTAAAATATACTGGGTCAGTTGGAAACACATGTGCTTGCCTAAAGGTCTTGGGAGCTTGGACTTCCCGAGACTTAGGCCATTTCAATCAAGTTTTATTGCCTAAACAATGTTGGGTGACTTTTTCACGATCCATCCTCTCTCCTAGCACGTGTGGTGACGTGTAATATTTTCGAGATTGTGATTTCATGGAGACTAATGTGGAATCAAATGCTATCTTATATTTGGCACATCCTCATGTGGGGTTGTGACCTTCTGCTGCAATATGGTCTTTAGTGACGAATGGATTCCGGGGAGAATATTCCAATTTAGTTTATTTACCTCCTCACACATTGGAGTTTCAAATTTCCCCATTTCTCGTTGAACTAAGCACAAACAAGAAAAAAACCAACTCCAGTGATCAATATTCTTATGGGAGATCAAGAATCCCATTAGAAAAATACTATCTTTTAAAATTCTAATCATTCCTTGATGTTCTATAGCCAAATACTAACAATATATGTTATTATATAAAATTCGATTAAATCTTCGTTTCCTTGAAAAATATATAATAATTTACAATAAGGTATATGCAAAGGGTAAATAAAATATATTATTTACTAGAAGAAATTAAAAGCAATGAATTAAAGTATATATCATCGACTAAAATATTATAGGTTCTTTATCGGAATCCCATCCAACATTTTGTTGAACTAAGAAAGCAATTAAATTTTTTGAAATTAAGATCAAACATAAAATCAAAACGAAAAAAGTCTATTTATTGTCATAATCCTCAATCTTGAGTCGAGACAATAATCTCTCCATTTCCAACCCAGACTTTTAATCAAACCGGTTAATCCTCATCCTATTCAAGTTGGGCCTTCATCAAATAATGTCTCTACAAATAAAGAGAAAAAATGTCATATTATTCAACGAGAGCTATATTCAATTCAATCGGAATAAAAAATAAAAAGTACATTGAAAAATATATTTTTTTAATAAAAAAACGATTCCATAAATCTCAACTCCAATACACGGTCGAACTAAAAAAAATCCCACTTTCTTGGTTAGTTTCTTTCGGACATTTTGTTGCCTCAAAAGGGAATTTACTTTCTTACTTTTTTTTTTTAATTTTTTAATTTTATTTATGTTTCTTAATCTTGACTATTAATGCCAACATAGACAAGACTTGAACTTAAACTTTCCGTAAAAAAAAGGAAAAAAAAAGGAAAAAGGAAAAAAAAACTTAACTTCACTTAACTTAACCATAGTTCAATATATGGTGTTAGGTGGGTTTGACTCTTCAGGTTTGGTAAGCGACTCAGTTGGTTCACGAACGCGATCTCTCAATAAACCCACCAATCTCTCTCTCTCTCTCTCTCTCTACAGCCAACAACCGAGGGAGAGAAGGAAGGAAAGTTCATCGTCCTTCCTCAGCTTCTCCGGCCACAGTTTCGCCGTCAGTGTGTAGCTTCTTTCATTTTCTTGCCGGAATCCGGTGCTCTTCACCTCGCTGTCATCATCTCGTCTCCCGGATTCCGCAGGTTATTTCCATTTTTTGTTTGTTTTCGTCCGTTCCCGGTGCTGCTTAGGCCGTATGCAATCGGAATCCAGGTCGATGAAGGTCTCTCCGTTGGAGCTTATGTCGGAGATAGTCAGGAAGGCGATGGATCCGTCGCAGGAATCGTCCGAGTCGGTTAAGGAAGTTGCTGCTCTAATATTGGAGAACAGAGAGTTCGTCATGATCTTGACTACCTCGCTCGCGGTCCTGATCGGCTGCGTTGTGGTTCTTGTTTGGAAGAGATCCAGCGGTCAGAAGACTAAACCGTTCGAGCCACCTAAGCAGTTGATTGTCAAAGAGCTGGAGCCTGAAGTCGACGATGGCAAGAAGAAGGTCACTGTCTTTTTCGGCACGCAGACTGGCACCGCTGAAGGTTTTGCAAAGGTGTGCTTGTAGAAACACGTGTTCGTACACGGATTTTGAATCTTTTCACGCTTTGGATTGAGTTGTTAAGCTACAGACGATTGTTGATTTTTTTTTTATCTGATTTTGGTAATTAGGCTCTATCTGAGGAGGCAAAAGCTCGATATGAGAAGGCGACTTTTAGAGTGGTTGATTTGGTATGCATGACACGTATATTTCTGTCAGTGTTCGACTGGCATTTCCGAGATTCTGATTGGCTCATATTTAGACGTTGCCTATTCTGGAACTGAACTTTTCCGCAGGATGACTATGCAGCCGATGATGATGAGTACGAGGAGAAGTTGAAAAAAGAAACTTTAGCTATTTTCTTCTTGGCTACGTGAGTTTCAACGCACTTTTTCTGTCGTTTGTGTTTTTTTTTTTACTTCTCTTGGAATCTTCCGTTAGGCTTTTTGAGTTTTTCTTTGTTTATAAATTTTCGCGCATGCAGGTATGGGGATGGTGAGCCAACGGATAATGCGGCAAGGTTCTATAAATGGTTTTCTGAGGTATCTTCTTTCCCTCGCTCAACTGTTCTACTTGTCAAAGCTTGATTCAGTTACATGTGTTTGTCTTCTAGACATATAATTGATTTTACTTTATGTGATGTGCCATTGTGCATCAGGGGAAGGAGAAGGGAGATTGGCTTTCGAATCTTCAGTATGCCGTATTTGGCCTTGGTAACCGGCAATATGAGCATTTCAATAAGGTTCAATAACATGAAGATGTTCAATTTTTGTATCCATGTTAATGAATTTGGAGGCTCACACTTGATTCGTTTTTGTGCGGTTGAAACAGATTGCAAAAGTGGTGGATGAACAGCTTGCTGAGCAGGGTAAATTATTATTTTATTTCCATTAACTTCCTCTTGTTGAAATGCTATGCAATTCATTTTTACTTCTTTATTTCTAATAAGATTGTCATATGGACAATGATTCTCTAATCTTAAATACAAAACGTGCACATGAGGGCTGTTTGACCTCCAATTTTACATAGTTAAGCATGCACTTCTGCAGAAGGCTTGTTAAAGTAAAGAAAACATCTCAGGAAAAAAATGTAGAAATATAACCACCATGGTTTGACCTAGTGGTCATTGGGGCCTATGAAAAGGTAAAGAGACTTACGAAGAATGAGTTCAAATCTCATGGTAGCTACATACCTAGAAAATTAAAATCTTATAAATTTCTTGACAACCAAATGTTGTAGGGTCAGACCATTGTCGTGTGAGATTAGTGAGCACGAGTTGGCCTTGTAGTGAAAGACAAACATTAATAGAAGCATCCAAGTAGTTGGTTATTAATGTCTCTCATTAAATCCTCTTCGAACTGAAGCTCTTTCTTGAATACTATGGTTACTTTTGACTTGAAGAACACTCATCTCCTAGGGTGGAAATTGTGGTAGAACTAGGTGATATAATTGCTATTAGAGTTTTGAAGGTCTATGAGAAGATAGATCAATTTAGATGTGGGCCTATTAGACATTTAGAAGAATGACACCATATTAGGAGATAAAGAACTTTTTAGCGAGTACATTAATTTAGATGCGAGTCTATTAGAACAACGTTACCATATTAGGGAACAAAGGACTTTTAGTGAGTACTTCAGAGATATATGATAAATAGAAGTTACAAGAGAATATGACAAACAGGACATTTCTTTTTTTGAATTTTAATAAAAATAATGTCTAACTATAACTAGTCTGAACAAAACTGCAGCATCATATAATGTGAAAGTTGGTGGATGCCTAATTACACTGGAAGTATTGCACATGGTGATATTTGGAGCTCTCTACTCTTTATGAACGAGCAACATGATATATTATGTGTATTTGCAGGTGGAAAGCGTCTTGTCTCAGTGGGTCTAGGAGATGACGATCAGTGCATTGAGGATGATTTCACTGCTTGGTATTAGGAACATTGATATGGACTATTATATCATAGTAGTAGATATTCTCTTTATCCTGTTTTTATTCATGGAGAATGACCTTTGTCTGTTCATTGATTCCTGTTATCTTAGGCGTGAAGCATTATGGCCTGAGCTCGACAAGTTACTTCGAGATGAGGACGACTCTACAACTGTTTCTACCCCATATACTGCTGCTGTATTGGAGTATAGGGTTGTATTCTACGATGCTGCAGATGTACCAGGAGAGGACAAGAGATGGGCTTTTGCAAATGGTCATGCTGTTTATGATGCTCAACATCCATGCAGGTACTTTAGAATTGAATACTACAGATTTGACTTTGCTACTGTATCTTGCTCCCTCACAGTAATGGTATTACTGTCTGAAGGGCTAATGTGGCCGTGAGAAAGGAACTTCATACTCCTGCATCAGACAGGTCCTGCATCCATCTGGAGTTTGATATTTCTGGCACTGGGCTGACGTAAGTAATCTTGCTTGATATTTATTTTTTCTTTCTAAAATATTTATATTATTTCCCTAAAACTAATGCCTATAATTATGATTTATTGGTAGCTAACATAAAAGAAGAATACTAGTAATAGTATGAGATAATACATAGTCAATGACTCAATGTTGACTTTAATATGTTGTTTTTCTCATCAGATACGAAACAGGAGATCATGTGGGTGTTTTATGTGACAATTTGGAGGAAACTGTAGAGGAGGCTATTCGTTTAATTGGTCTGTCACCTGAAACATATTTCTCTATTCATACTGATAATGAAGATGGCTCACCGTTAAGTGGAAGCTCATTGCCACCACCTTTTGCACCTTGCACTTTAAGGACTGCATTGACTCAATATGCTGACCTTTTAAGTTCACCCAAGAAGGTTTTGATTTGGAGCTCTTGCTTTATGATTTTTAATTATTATTGTTCTTTCCTTTTTTCTTCTTAATTTTTCCATTTTGCAGTCTGCCTTGGTTGCTCTAGCTGCTCATGCTTCTGATCCAGCAGAAGCTGATCGATTGAGGCATCTTTCATCACCTGCTGGAAAGGTACCGTACTAGTAGATTGACTGTGTAACAATCTTCTATAGTACTTATTCTTTTAGATGTGTTACATTTTTCAACTCAAATAGGATGAGTATGCTCAATGGATAACTGCCAGTCAGAGAAGTCTCCTTGAAGTTATGGCTGAATTTCCATCTGCAAGGCCACCCATCGGTGTCTTTTTTGCAGCAGTTGCCCCACGCTTGCAGCCTAGATATTACTCTATATCATCTTCTCCAAGGTACAAATTTTGAGGCTCTCAGATCTTTATCACTGCTTAAGTTAAATGATAGACGGCTGTAAGTAACTCCAAATGATTGGAAAATAAAGTGAAATAAGGTTTTTTGAGGTACCAGTCTACCAGGCAAGTTTCTGGTAGCCATTAGGTTCTGAAAATTGTTGTTTAGATGAAGCTAGCTTGGTTCCTTGTATCACCATTGTTTAAAATTGAAAAGAAAAACAGGACAAAAAATAGGCAAACATGATCGGTGTTTGAAGTTGTCTGTTTAAAACTTTTAAGATTGCATTGTTTTTAGTTGTGTTTTTTATATAGATTGATATGAATGAAAGGCCATGATTAAAGATCACTCATGGTGAAACTCATGATAAGTCATCTATTTATGCGATGAAAACTGAAATAAGTGGTATTTATTGTTTGCATAAAATAGTTCCGTAGATATTGGAAATATATAGGCATTTGGGAGCTGGAAAATTTTGTAGAAATTAGATTTGATTATTTTTACTTAAAGATGCTGCAATACTTGAGCATGAGATAAATTGTTATCAAGTTTGGGACTATTTTCCATTTTGATATATATATTCCCTTTCCTTTCGTGTGCATTTAATTTCTATCGAACATTCTGGAAATATTATCACAGGATGGCTCCGTCTAGAATTCATGTAACTTGTGCATTGGTCTATGACAAAACACCAACAGGAAGAATTCACAAAGGTGTATGTTCCACTTGGATGAAGGTACTATGGTCAGGTTTCTTATTAATTTTAATATGAATTTAAGTGATGAAAGATCACTACGTATGTGTAGCGCATATATGGGGTAAGGGATATAGTTCTGATAATTATTCTGCGCAGAATGCTGTTCCACTAGAGGAGAGCCAAGCATGCAGTTGGGCGCCCATCTACGTGAGGCAATCTAACTTCAAACTTCCCACGGATTCTAAAGTGCCCATTATCATGATTGGTCCTGGAACGGGATTGGCTCCATTCAGGGGGTTCTTGCAGGTTTCTATGATTGCACTTGTTCTTATATACTGAATTGATCTTCATGCTACAACTGTTAATTTGTATGAGCCAACTATTACATTTTGGTTTATATTTGTAGGAAAGGTTAGCTCTGAAAGAAGCTGGTGAAGAATTAGGACATTCCATACTGTTTTTTGGATGCAGGAACAGGAAAATGGTGAGTGGTGCGCTCTAATTGGTTGTAAGACTGCTCCACCATTGTATTGGGTTCATAGTGAATGCTATCTATACTTTGGCATGAGTTTATATAAACTGAGTATTGTCTTCAGGATTACATCTATGAGGATGAGCTGAACAACTTTGTTGAAACTGGTGCACTTTCTGAGCTGATTCTTGCTTTCTCACGCGAGGGGCCGACTAAGGAATATGTGCAGCATAAAATGGTTGAAAAGGTGAAACTTTGAAACCCTCTCCCATCTTCTTCAACAGAACGAGTTTTCTGTCAATTCTGCTGTTGGAGCCAAATGATAAAACAAACTTCTCGTTTCTTTTGCAGGCTGCGGATATCTGGAATCTATTATCTCAGGGAGCTTACATTTATGTTTGTGGTGATGCTAAGGGCATGGCTAGAGATGTCCACCGGACTCTTCATAACATTGTGCAAGAACAGGTTTCTTCATTACAACTCATCTTTATTCTCTGTTTAGTGATTTGATCGAACATAACCTAGAAACTGTCTTGTATCGGGTAAAAATGCAGTAACAAAAAATCTAGTACTACCAGTACATACTCCATTAATATTCAGCGACATAATTAATAAAATGTGCTACTGTAGTACATGATATTTTTCTTCCCTTCTCCAACTTATTTGTTCCCCTTGTGGACACTTGTTTAATTAAGCATATAGAAGAACTTAACGGTTACTGAAATTGCTCTTTTTCTGGCATTGGCATCGAAATCGTCGTGGTTCCATTTTTAGATGTGCACTTCCAACTTTCTAATCAACTATACTTGCGTCGTCTATTTTTCAGGGATCTCTTGACAGCTCAAAGGCTGAGAGCATGGTTAAAAATCTTCAAATGAGTGGCAGGTATCTCCGTGATGTGTGGTAAAAAAATTTACATTCGTGCAAGCTTTGGAAGGGTTGAGAAATATGGGGAAAAAAGTAATTATCTTTGTCAACTAAATGAATTTCTTTATTAAAAAAAGAAAAAGATAAAAGAAGGCTGCGCCTTCCAGTGCTTATTTGAAGGGTAAGTTTGGATAAGCTGCTGCTCATTTTTATGGCAGATAGGTCTGTGATTCTTTATCAACTCTCGCCTTTATACAAAAGGATTCTTTGGTTCTTGTAATTTATAGACATAATAAGTATGATGATGATGAGTAGGAAAATAGTTCATGGACTCCTGATTTCCCCTGTAAGAGCCAACAAAGATGGTTCAAAATATTGACACAGACTCCTGTAATTGTCACCTTATTATATATAGTTTTATATATTAAGGTTTAATTTGGTCCTGCATAATAATGTTCCTAAAAAAAACCATTTCCCTCCTTTCGAAATATCTGTTCTTATTTTTTTGGAGCGTCTCGGGTCAGCTTAATATGTTTACTAAGTTTATGGGATAGTTACTTGATCCTATAATGTTTGATGTTTAATTTGTAGGAATTTGATATCAATGGGATCTTTCAAATGTTACGATTACATTGTCTTTATGAGTTTGGTCGGTGCATTTTATTTTTCTTGTTGATTCTTTAACATAGTTTGTAGAGCAATGATCGTGCGGTGGTTTTAGTACTTGCTGAATTATGATCAGTCAGTTTTTAGAATAAATTATTTGTGATACGCATAATGAAAATGGTGAGTATGTTGAACTAAATCGATTAAGACATATTTTCAACTAAAATGTTGGTTTGAATCTTTACTGTTAATATTTTTTTATACTATATCAAATATTTACACATTTGAACTGTTATAACAATTTATTAGAATTTTATGATATTTAACAAAGAATTAAATTAGATTTAGACTTATTTTAGTTAAGTAATTATATTTTAAATTATCATATTTTATTTCTTGATCTCTCTCTCTATGTTCAAAATTTTAAACTAGGAGTACTTGTAGATGAATACAATTAAAAAAGTCGCCTTTCAAAAACAAAAAAAAAAGGGGCAAAGAAAAGATAAAAGCTCAATTATACGTTTATGTGAAACTTTCAAAAAGCCCCCCATAATTGCAACTCGTTGTACTMTAAAAACAAATCATTTAATCACAATTCTTGTAGAAAGAAAAAGCATATTTTCTTCTATTGTGAGTGTGACGTGGATATATAGAATTTATTGTCAAATCTCAACCCCATACTTTGACTTTAATTATTATTATTATTTTAATCTTTTTGTGAAATGATTTAGTTTTTGGATCTTCGTGTAAGAGACGACAATACAAAAGGGAACACGTGATGGCTTTATTAGCATCACAAAAGCATTCCACAAAGCTCCCAATAAAAAAGGAAAAAAATAAATAAAGAAGAAAATCCTCCAAACTTGACATTGACAAGCGCACTGCCACATGATTTTGAAGTAGAAGGAGAGGGTATTTATGAGTAGGATTATTGTAGGACTTTTTAGGGTTTTTCTCTTGCCAATTATGACCCTTTTTGGAAAAAAAAAAGTGGTAGTTTTGGCTATAATTATTGACATTTTGTTAACAAACAAAAGAAACATGTCTATGAAGTTGTTTATATTTGTTGGAATATATTTGTTGGGAAAGCATGATCAAGTTAAATACAAAATCCTAGCCAAATAGATTAAACCTAGAATATTGTATCATATAGGAGCTAGTTAGATAATCTCGAGGTGGCACAAATTATCGTCTCTCTCATGTCTTATTGTGAGATGTTATCTTAAATCTTTTAGTATATGAATCACATGCTTGATCTCATGAGGATCGGAGTGTGCGAGATATTAACTCCATCGTTAATTATTGCTTTCTAGGGAGTATTTGATCAATAGAGAATTATTTCTTCACACCCTTGTTTTGTCAATTGACCAGAAAAAAAAATGTTGGATCATATACAAATAGTGAGTTGAATAATGATTGAAGTTAGAGCATGGAAAAGTTGACAAATTTGATTGACACTAAAACTAATATGTGGTAATTTTGATTTAGAGTAGAATATTGAAGAGAGCCATATTTGATATTAAATAGGAGGGTAAGTTGGGTAGATGGTCATTGGATAAGGACATTAAATGCACATGATGCTCATATCCTTTCCATTTTAACAGGTCGAAAATTTCTTTAAAGAAAATTTAAAACTAAATCCAAAAGTCTTTCGAAGAAAAAAAAAAAAAAGTCTAAATCCATAAATAAAACGGTTTATAAAATTTGAAAATTTGCTATTATCAAACCCTAAACAAAAACTTAATTTGAGAAACCAAAATCAAGGACCTAGTTTCGGTTTGTATGAGGGCTTTATAGGCTTTTTGACATGTAATGGATGAACATGGATAGGATATTTGGCAAAGTAGGTTTATAGGCTTGTGACAGGCTATCGCCTCGTAATCTACACTAACAAATTTAGGGATGATTCTATGTAAACCGTTGATGCAATTTTTGGAGAACCCGATTGGATCGAAGGTTTGGTTTAAGCGAATCAAGCAATCAAGCAAATCAACTGTCAAGTGACTAAAAAGATGTCGTGTCCTAGCTGAGAGAAGACTAGGCTTGCAAGGAATGAATGATTGAGAAAAATAACATTGGTGTGGTGTACGCTTACCATACTTCAATGCTTAATGCTTAAGTTAGTTGGTGAATTTAAGTGGAGAAAAAGTAAGATGTGTTGTTTCAGTTTGACTTACCTTGAAAAATTGTCCTTCTTCTCTCTAGACTCTAGTTATAGGATTGGTTTCTTCAGGGATGACCACGCAGTTTGTAGTATGGGCCTCTGGGACTGGGTCACGTATGGGCTTTGGTTGCACAGACGTGTAGGTCGCGCAAGCACTGGGCTGTGAAGACGCAGACCGAGCATTGAGCCTCACAAGCCACGCTGCCCTGCGCAACATAAACTATATTAAGAAATCATCATGCATATTAAGTTTTCAAATTTCATATATTTATCTTTTGACTCAACGTTATTAACTGAGGAGACTTTGCTTTTTTTGGTAAAGGACGAGGGAAACTGGATTCTAGAGATGTTGTGTGGTGGAAATTAAAAAGTGGTCCATATATGAAATTGTTTAGGTCGAGTGGTTAACTAAAAAGCTAGAACAAAATAACGTAGGGAACCCATATTAATAATGAAAACAACATGACAAGTCGACCCATAAATTCAACTTGTGGGGTAACGTTATAGAGCTAATACCTAATAGAACTACATATTTCAAACTTGAAATGGACAAGTAGTTTTAAGAGTGAAATAAAAAAACCCTTAAAATATATTTTCAAAATTTGGCAAGGTTGAATAAAATGCAAAACACAAAGGGGGAGCAAGGAGATGAAATCACTATTTTTCTAAAAAAGTTGAATTTAAAAACACACCAAAAACACATGGACAATTTATTTTAGTATAGCATAAAGAAAATAAGAACAAATAAAAATTTAAAATTCATAGTACTTAATAGGATTAAATATGAAAAAAGAAAAAGAAAAAAAAAACAAGTACCAAAGTGAGACAAAACTAAAGAACTGTTTCAATTTCCACCAAATGTGCTGCAAACAAAAGAGGCTTCACATTACTATGCACTTTGCCAATACTTATTAACACCACATGTGTATCTACTTTTGTATTTATTTGCCTATCAATAATGTTGGTTTTCATTAAAAAATAATTATAGTTAAATTAAAAATTTGTTTTTCAAACTTCAAAATTGTGKCTAATAAATCCCCTAATATAATAAAATGTCTAACAGATTTTTAACTAATTTGTATCTAATAATAGACGTCAAAATTTGAATTTTATGTCTCATGAATTTCTACTCCCTTTTTAAAGTTCAAGATCTTATTCAACACAACTCACCAAATTTAAGAGCTAAACTTGTAATTAAAAAAAAAAAACTAGTTCAATCTAATTTTCTTAATATATATATATTCTTCATTGTTCTTATACATGTTTCTTTTTTCTTTCAAATCCTTGCTTAAGTAACAACTACTCTTATATTTTTTCATGAAGGTAAGGTCCGATCTACAACAAGGACCGATTTGAAGAAGTCTAGAAGACCTAACGATTTTTCTAAGTTGTGCATACCCGAGCTAAAGGATCCCGACCTACAAGTTTGACAATTTGTAACCGTCTAACCTCCTGTCGGAACGGTTATAATTGACTTATCCCCCACTCTGCCTATAAAAGCACCACTCATATGATTCTAGTACGCAATTATGTTTGATACGTTCTCCCCTAATTTATCCAAGAAASGACGGAGTTGTACAAAATTCAATATCAATGAAATAGATTTAGAAACTTTAAAACCATGAGAACTAAATTAGAATAACGAGGAAAGAACGAAATTTGAGATTAAAAAAAAACATTGAAACTTTCAAAAAGAAAAAAAAAAAAAAGGAAAAGAAAAGAAAAAATGAGGTAGGATTTAGGAATAGGATTGGGGAGGGAGCATGTAATTCGTAAAGGTCAAAGAACGAGCCGTTCGGCGACCGCAACGGGGCTATCGCATCATCTCCTCTCATGCATTTCAATTTAATTAATTAATTAATCTTTTCATTAATTAATTTTGCTTTTACTTCACGCACTTTGCCACAAATCCCAACAACCTTTTTTACTACTAATAATATTATTATTCAAATTAGTAACAGCTACGCCCTACACAACCTCTCATTTTCTTATTAATTTAATTAAATTTAGCTGCACTTTAATTAATTAATTAACCTTTTTTTTTTGGTTCAATGAAAGGACATTTTAACTTCCAACTCCAGGGAGATAAATAATGCTTATTCAGTTAAGCTATTCTTGTGCCAGTACATGAACAAAATTAATTTTTTTTTTTTTTTTTTAATTTCTTATTAGTTCAACGAACATGGGAGAATTTTGTTCGATCTTTTGGTTGAGGATAGAGGTTCGGTTAGTTCATATAGTGAATGAACTACTATCACATCGGAATGAGAAATATTATATTAACAAAACTTCAAACGAAATTAATCGGTGTGGCCCTATGTCAAATATGCTAGTAAACCTTTTCTTTCAAGGGTCTATTCACATGAATCTTCATGGATATATACAGTCATATGGGTAAGCTAATTCTAGTTTTTTTTTCCTATTTATTTTATTTTATTTTATTATTATTATTTTTTTAAAGAAGTTTGTTAGTGGAAAAAAAAAAAAAACATTGGAAGGGACTTGTGTTTCAATTCTTCTTCAAATTTTTGGAGGAATGTTACACATAATTAATTTGAGTTACGACTAAGTTTGAATATTCTTAATTATATGATATATTTTTTTGTGAATATTAATTTTTTACTCATATGTTGGTTTTGATTGAATTTAAACATTTTTGTGTTTGATGTACTTTTTTTTTGTTTGCTTAATTTGGTTGGATCTAAGTGTGTTTTTTTATAGCTAGGTTTGAGCGTTTTTGTGATTAGATTTTAATCTTTAGCTGGCCAGCAAAATTTAGGTGATTAATTGTATTTTTAAGACAATTTTTAAAACTTGGTTCTTAATTAATTTTAGTATTAAATTAATTTAGCTAGAGACAGCCTCTTTTGCATTCACAAGCAAACATGCTCTTTCACCCTCCCTATTTATATATATTATACAATATAATATGACTATTTAGCTGTCACATGTTAAGGGTTTTTATTTTTTTTTAATATAATAATTGTAAGGATGAGTTATGTTGGAGTCCAATTAATTAACTATTTTTTTAATAAATGAATTTTATATTAATTTATTGATTGATTTTTAAATATGTAATACTCCTTGCGATGAGTACCAACATGAATATAACTCAAACTGGTAAGTATTATTTACCTTCTTTAAAGGCTGGACCACCACTTTTACGCATCTAATAAATATTAATATTTTATTTTGATATGATTCGCTTCCCTTTCATGAATTTAATATTGTTTTAAAAAATGTCACAAATTTTCAACTTTTTCAAATATACGATGAATGTAATTTCTTAGTGTGTTTTAATTTTACATTATTACGTTTGAGTTTGAATTCTATCGAACTATTTTGTGATATTTTAAACTTTAGGTTATCTTTAAAAATGCATTTTTATTTTATACTATTTTTATACACTTTTTCGTTCTTTTCAAAAGTTAGACGATAATCTAGTATACTAAAATAAATAAATAAATAAAATATATATATATGTGTGTTTTTTAGTACAATAATAGAAAATATATGCTTTCATCCATAGAGGCAATTATTGATTTGATTATGTAGAATCACACAGTTTAGCTAAGATTCTAAATATTATATTTGGTTTTTTTTTTTATTAATTTTTTTTATATCTGTTCCATAACAAAATATATATTATTATTTATAATTATTTTACACTCTTCAAATAGAGAAAATAACAGAACATAAATAATGTTCTTTCATAAATGATCTTATTTGGTAATTTAGAAGGAAAAAAAACAAGAGTTTTATTGTTAAATTCGTTTTAGAAAAAATATTTAGACTTAATTTAAATATATTAATTTTAGTTTATTCTATACTATAATCGTTTTTCTTCTACTTATTTTTTCCAACAATTCTGAATATGTATATAATTGTATTTTAGTCGAACATATAAAATTGTATTCTTTTATTTAAAAGGATGAACTTGAGCTTATTTCTCTCTTTCTACACACCATTTAATTCTAACATTAATTCCATTTTTTATTTAGCAAGAAAATTGGAGGARAAGTGCTATTTTCTTCCCAATTTAAAAATAAAATATAAAGAATGGAAAATTATAATAAATGACCTAAAATAAATATGTATTTATAAAAATATTAATTATTTTTTATTTTTTATTTCTTTAAAGAATGTCATAAAATTGACTTTGGTTGGTCTCATGTGATTGCATAAATTTACAATTTATGTCCTTTTTTAAAAGTTTAACTTTTTTTTTCTTTTTTAAAGATGTAAAAATTTAAACCAAATGCTATATAAATATAAATACATATTTTATTTGTATTATTTTTGTAATTCTCTTTTTAAATTTTAATGTTTTCTTATTACAAATAAGAAATCTAATAATTGTCAAGAAAGTTGTCATTTCAATCAAAAAGATTAATTTAAATAAATAAAAATATTATTGTGTCAAATTTGTCACCAACAAGTTATGATAATTAAAAAATATATGCTCCCACTTCCAACTTAAATAAGAGAAGAAATAATAGATTTAATTTTTTAAGTCCATAAATAATATCCTTGAAGGGGAAAAAAAAGGTGAGATCTACGAATCAGAGAAAAATGTCGTAAAAAATAAGAATTAAATTACATTTCTCACCTACATATCTAAAAATCCAAACCCACTGTTAATAGTAAATTGATGCGTTACCAAGTGAGCTGTGTTCATGCTGCCTCCTTATGTTCTGGTTAAACTTCGTTATTATATTCTCACAATTTTCATTTTTACCCATTGTTTTCTCGAAATTCTAATTTGGTCCAACTTTCTTTCTGTATTTTCTTAAATATTTTAATTTTAGAATAATATAGTATTTTTTCAGTTGGAGAGGGGAGGAGATTCCAACATTATTAACGTCTTAATTGTTAAACTATGCTTAAATTAACTGATTCATGCATATACTTCGTCTTAACAAATCTTCTCTTATAATGGTCCTTACCATATTTATTGATGAACGTTGAAAAACTGTTGGCTATATAAACACATCATGAGATGAGTTCATATCAATATCATACGTCAACTTTTCGTTATATTTTACGTCAAATGATTGTGTATACTATTAAGATTATTAAATTGGAATATATATAAAAAATAAGATGGATAGAGAATTAAATTGAAACTTTAGCTAATGAACTTGGATCCTACACAATTTAATCAAGTCTCTAAAATTTAAAAATTTTCTCACTATACTTAAATTAATTTTATTTTTTAGTTTATGATATAAATRTGACTATTCAACTTATAGAAAAGATTACTAATATCTTAATTATTGATTTTATTTTTAGTACAATAGGTGGAATGAGATGATTCGAACTCACCACATTCTTAAACTTTAGAGAGTAATTTTATGTACTCTCATTCGTCTTCTTCCACTTATAATTGAGTATAATTTGAACATAACTCAACAATGATCAATGGAGACGTTTGAATTAAAAACACTTGATAAAAGATTTATCATAGAATTATCGGTCACGTTATTCGAAGGCGGGAAAGATAATGTTACATGGTATTATTAAATGGGGGTGGTTTGAGAAACGTAAAGGGAAGCACAAAATTGGGTCGGTTTCCGACACCTGCCTCACTCCTTTCCGACATTTGTGCTCTCTCTCTCTACAAATTTTTTTCTCTCTCCTCTCTCGAATCCATCTTATATGCTGATCTCTTCACCAAACCCCTAAAAATCAAAACAAAAACTTTTTCTTTTTAATTTATATATATATATATATATGATGATGATGAAGAGCTTGGATTCCGAGAGACAAGCTGCGGCGGAGTACTTGAAGAAGAGGAGGTGGCCGGAGAGGAGAGCGGTGGCGGCGGAGGAGGATGTGTCGGCGGTGATTCCGGCGGTGACGGTGGTGCTGGAGGGGCGGGCGATCTGCCAGCGGATCAGCCTCCACAAACATGCAAGCTACGAGAGCCTGGCCAAAGCCCTCAGAGGGATGTTCGTGCCGGAGGACGACGGCGGCGGAGGAGACTCCGGCTCCGGCGAGCGGCGGCTTGACCTTTCGAACGCGGTTCCGGGTCATCTTGTTGCTTATGAAGACATTGAAAACGATCTTCTTCTTGCTGGTGACCTCAATTGGAAGTGAGTATAAACATATATATTTTTTTAAATTTTACGAAGATTTGATAATTATTTATATATTTATTTTGTTTTTCATTTTATAGAAATGTTTTAAAAATTATATAGAATTTGTTGGAAACAAAAGAAAATAAATTTGCAAGTTTATAATTTTTTTTCTAAAAATATAAATAAAAATATTATTTTATTACGGCAATACAATTATATTTTTCTCTGCTGAAAAAAAGGAAACGAGACGGGCTCAATTTGATAAGTTAAAAGATCATAAAATAATGCTTTATTTATATTTTTAAGAAAATAAAAACTAAAAACTTAAATTCGTTATTTTTAAAATTGTTTAAAATTTTTAGACAATTTTGAAAACATTTTGAGAATAGTAAAGTTTTGCAATCTTTTTCTCAAAAAAAAAAAAAAAGAAATANTTGGATACCATCTAATTATCTGCCTCTTTCTCCCTCTAGTTAGGTTTAAATCCAAATCTTTTCTTTTTTTATTTTTTTTTGAAAAATTATGAGTTAAATTTTGGAAGAAAAATATACAAAATTACTCTTTTTAATCTAATTCGTGTGAGTTCATAAGACATCAAATAGCTATTATCCATCGAGGAAGCTTCAATGGTTGACCTAGCTCTAATTAAGCTATCCAATATAATTTTTATATTTATAATTTTATAATTCTAAAAGTTAGGGAGAAAAATTATATGAAAACTATTAAGAAGGGTAATTGTTCTCGGAATTTTAGAGTGGTCGAAAGAGTTCAAATCTCTACAGAAAAACTCACTTTTTAAAATTTTAAAAATATTCCTTTTAAAATTACAAAAAAGTCACTCCTATGTTTCAATTCTTTTAATGGCTGCAATTTTATCTCTCCCCCACTTACAAAATTAAGTAATTTCTGATTTGTAAGTTTAGGGCAATGTTTAAAAATAAAAAATTATGGCATTACTTAAAAAATAAAATGATATTACCCCTTGTAATTGATGTATAAAGTATAGTTGTGTTTTGAAGAAAATATATTGGGTTAGATAATTAAATTTTGGGTACTCTAATTAACGATTCATTTGATAAAGATTGTGAGTTTAGTCTTTTATTTTTAAAGATCATATGTATTTGTTTATTATACAATTTTTAAGTCACCTTTTAGATTATCTTGAAATCTAGCTGTGGTTAATAAAATATGTTTAGAAATCGCGAGGATTATTATAATTATGATTATGATGACGATTATTATTACTACTATTATATATGTTCTCTGAAAAGATTATGTAAATAAAGAAAATAATTAATAATTTGAATTTTTGTTTGTGGCAGTGATTTTGTTCGAGTGGCGAAGAGAATTCGAATACTGCCAGTAAAAGCAAATTCAAGGAGGGGAAGAGGAGTAGAGGAAAATTAAATTAATATAAGTGTTAAATATATTTATGATAGCCATTTGTATTAATTAATATTATCTTCTAATTATGATTTCTTTCATATTTTATGAAAGAAGTAATAAGATTTTTTTTTCTCTTTTTTAATGTTATTGGATGCTTCATGTTCTCTTTGATCAAAATATTAAAACAAACTTCTGAGCATAATATATTTTAATATAATTATCTTCTTGTGCCCTCCCTCTCCCCCCAATTTTATTTTATTAGGGTGAATATTCTATTTTAGTCCCTAATTTTTACATAAAATTGATAATTTTGTTAACACTTCATAGTTTCTCTAAGTCTAGCTAGGTCTTTAATTATTTAATTAATATTTACTTACTAAAATACAACTCTTTTTGGAATTGGATTTAGTAATTTCATTTTTAAATCATCATTTTCTATTTTAGTATCTTTAAATTTTAGGTTAAAATTAGTTTGATTCATTTTAGATATCAAAGCATAGTCCATTATATAATTTCAAACAATTGTGTTTAGGTTAAATAATATGTAGAGAAAAGTAACAAATTTATTTTAATAAAAGTTAAAGTTTAGAGGCGAGTTTAATATTTAAAAGAGAATTGAGATGACTTTTTCTACATAGTAGTACATTAATAAAATAAAAGGAAATTATTAATCTTTTTGGGTACGTGATTCTCAATTTGGTACTTAATCTGTTAAAAAAAATTTAAATCTTCAATTATGAGACGTCATTACTTAAAAAATTTGATAAAAATATTTAACAAAAAACTGGTGGATCATTAAATAATTGTTTTATTAACGTGTAGACATGCCACTCAAGTTTACTTGTCACATGAAATTCAACTATTGTCGAAAATTTGATTCATTCTTCGATACAATTCATTTATTCTAGGCGACATGTTTATCATTCAAATATGTTAATAAAATAATAATCTAATGTCATATCAATTTTTTGTTAACAAATTTTAGCATTATTTTGAAAWTGCATAAATTGAGAATTTTCAATGAAAATTTTAAAAGATTATGGACTATTAGGTATAGTTAAATGATGTAAAATAAATGAATTTGGTTTTAAATAATTTGATTCCATGTTAGCATGCATTTTTCTTTGTAGGAAGAAGCTAATATGATAGGAGAAACTTTAATTAGGGTTGGTCCATAACATTAATGAAGTTCATTAGGCTTAATTAACGAGTAGAACATAAAGAAGGGCCACCCTAATTAAGTAATTCTACAAAGTTTAAATTGTTTTTTAAAACTTGTTTCATTAAATAACAACATTTTTTTTCACCCTCAAATTGTTTTATGATAAAAATTAATTCTTCAAACTTGTACTATCCATGAAATTCGGTGTCTTACACCTTATATTATTACCAAGTTAGATTCATTGTTTGTGCATATAAAATACATGTAAAAGTTTGAGGATTAAATTGTAAAAACTTTTATCGTCAAGGGTAATTTTGTACAATTTATCTTTTAAATAAATAAATAAATAATTGTATGCTTTCTTTCCTAATTTAAATTGAATTTTGGAAGTATATCTAAGCCTTTTAAAGTCTAGTGAATTCATTGCCTTCTTATGGTTATTTCTTATATAGTTTTTTCTTAAAAAGATTTAAGTTGGTATAACTTTTTTTTAATTGTTTTTTTCGTTTTGTTTTCATACATATATATATATATATATATTTCAAGAAAAATGAAGTAATTTCTTCCAAAATCTCAAACTTTTAAATAGTTATAGTAAATTGTAATATGCATATTAATAGTTATAATTTCGTCGTTTAATCACCATTTTCGAAAAAAGTACTGAAAAACATAAAACTATTTCAAATAGTTTTTGGAACTTTTCCTTAGAATACACTATGTTATAATTGTTTTGGAAAAAAAAATTATTTTTGCTTCTATACTTATAGCTAATTGACTCAATTTAAAATTTGAATTTTATTCAATTAAACTCTTCAGATTGAAAATTAATTTAAGCTATTTGAAAAACTAAAGACATGGTTATGAAAATTACTCCCTTTCATTTTTAAAATTCAAGTGACAATTTAAAATAGTTTTTTGAAAGTAGAAAACAAACTTTTAAAGCATGATAATTATATATTTTAAATAATAAAATGTAAAAAAAAAAATTGTGAACAAAACTTGTTGCATAGTCTATTCTAGAAATGTCAAATTTTTTAAAACTAAAACGGCTTTATTTCAAAACTTTTTCTTTTGGTTTAAAAATTTGGCTAAATTTTTGAACTATTGAAAAAAAAAACGTAAAAAATAAAACAAAGAAATTGTTCATAGACAATTTTTTTTTAAATGAAAACATAAAAGTAAAAAAGAAAATAAAAAAAAAGACAATTTATCCGACAAGCCTCGGGTAATAACAAAATGAGGAAATAAAAACTTCAATAATACGCAATTACAGAAAATAATAATAATAATAATATAGTAGATTTTTTTGTTCAAGGAAAAAAAATACAGTAGATTTGTCACAAGATATATAAAATATTTTTGAAAAATGACACAATCTTATTTTTTCTATCTTAGTAATGTACTTTATATATCAATCTTAAATTGGTATATAAGCTTTTACATTTTTTATTAAAATAAATTATAAATTATTAATATCAATATTATGTTTATATATATTAGTGATATTGTGTTGATATATATTTTTTTTTTATATTTTGTCGATTTCTTTGCAATACTATAGAAACGTTGATTCACGCTTCATACGACATCGAATCTATAGACATATAAAGATATAGATGGAAAAAATCGACGCGGAAAGAGTACTTCATTACAATAATTCTATAAAACTAAAATTGAGAACCTGTGGAACAGGAAAAAGTGAAAAGATGGTATAAGAAAACAAAGTTTGGGAGTCCCAAAGAGGGCATAAGCATTAGCAGAGCATGTGCTTTAAATATTTATACTGTGGAATTGTACGTTATAAAACAGACCTCTTTAATTTTATTGATTATTTATTTTTTTTAATTGTCAACTTATAAATGTTGGTTTCCCATTCCCATCTAATTAATTATTTCATTAATTGTTTGTCTGTGGATCATTATAACTCCCTTTTTCTTTTGGTCCCAAATGCTATTATTACAAAATAATAGACAATAATTTATCAACCTACAAGAGTACGAAGGTGAAAATTTTCGACGGATGATTCATTGAATAACCATTTCGTTTTAGTTTTATGTTTTTGAAAATGATGTTTATTTACTTACAATTTTCATGGAATGTTTAATTAATTATCATCTATTAGAAATACGTTTGAATTCTTAGCTAAATTTCACAAATGAAAATAAGTTTTTGAAAACTAAATATATATATATATATATATATATATATATATATATATATATATATATTTTGTGAGAGTCTAATTTTATTTTTAAAATTTAAAATAATTTAAAAAGTGGATATAAAATAACAAAATGGGTTTTTGAGTCATAGATCATGTTGAGATTTCTTCTCTTTTTCGTGAGTAATATGTTCTTTGGAATTATCACCATTGATATGTTGCATAGTATTTGCACATTGCATCACTAACACCTTTAAAATCGTATATTTAAGAAGCAATTTGTAGTGTATTTTAAGCTCGTTTATTAATAAAGGATATTCGAATTTATATTTTGAAATTATTTGTACAAAAGGTGAAGGAGAGATTTAAACTCATAACTTCTTAATTAGAGACAAGTGTCAATTACCACTAATAAGCTAAGTTCAGGTTGGCAGTCAGTATTTGCATTTTATTTTGTGATGATTTAATTTCTATACTTAAAAATAGAATCTCCAAGATTTTTGTTGTAATCGAGAAATATCAATGAGTAGATAATTTAACCCTATCTGATTTTGGGTCATAGGAGGTCCGTCGACTTCATTCACTTCATATATTTTTGCATGAGTGGTTTACCAATCAAGTTTGATGATAAAAATGTTTTAACCAATCTTGAAAGCAYAAGGGCTAAATTACTTTTGAAAAAAAAAATACGAGGATTAAGCGTATATTTTAATAAGTGGTTCAATTTTTCCTAGAAAATATGTTCCCTCTAATATAATATGCTAGTTTAGGGTTACAAGATGAAGGAAGAGAACGTACACATTTTCATCCTCTCTTAGGTTTCTTAAATTTTTTATGCACAACATATAAAAGCTGTGGTCCTTCTCAAATTATTAAAATACCTATTTTCATTTTTAATACGTTACCCAGAAAATAAAAAAAATAAATAAATAACAGAGAGAAAGTAAGAAAATGTTATTCACACACTTTGTGGTGGAGGTCCCTTCTTGGGTGTCCAATTTTGGATTCAAATAAGTTATTATTTAATTAAATTTAGTTTGAGTTGATTTTTTTTTTCAGTATAACATGTAGGAGTGAAGATTCGAACTCACGATATTTGAGTCGGAAATAGATGTCTTAACTAGTTGAATTTGATTTGAAAAACCTAACAATATACATATTACTTGTAATATAATTACATGGTATAAATCATTAGAAGTTGACATTTACTATCATTTTCACTCTTTCTTATACAACTTTGAAATAAATGGCTCGAACTAGTCTCGGTTGGTCCATCATATCTAATTAGAGTTTTAGATAAATTTATGACGATTTTTTAGACACAATTGAAGTCATTGACATGCTACAAAAATTTTAGTTAATCACAAATTTAAAAAGTATATCATGTGATTCTAAACATCGTATTATCAGATTGAGATAATTTGAATTTGTGACCATACGGTAAATCTATAATATATAATCTATCTATATCTATAATATATTAAAGTACAGATGCAGAAGAAGYTTTTATTGGATGATTTTAACCTTGATTATTTATATAATACCTAATTTACCCTTAATTTCATTTATGTCCTCCCACCACTCCAAGTTTTCTCTCATRTTCTCACTCGAAACCTCTCTCCCCTCTCATGTTCATCTCTCCTCGTTAATATTATTTTTCATTAACTTGATCTCTCACCTCTCTTTTACCCATCTAAATTCCTCCTTTTTTTTGTCTCTCTCAATGCTCTCTCTTCATAGCTAATCTTTCCATATTCCATTTTGGTTCAAACCTTTCAAATTATCTCTCTTTATTTATTSTGATATTTCTCTYTTAATTAAATAGTTTATCAWTTATCTCTCTTATTTATTGTGACCAACTTTTTTCTTTCTTTTGACATAGAAAAATACAACAAAGATAAATGGAGAATTGTATTGTTTGCGAGAAAATGAAGCATTTGGATATGAAATTGGGGTTCAGTATATTTGGGTATAATTCAAGTTATTGGAAATATTTTACTTTTTCTTTTTAATTTTATGTTTATTTCTAGAGGGTAGAGCAATAGTCAATCTCCTAGAAAACCAAATTAGCTATTAATTGGACGAGGGCTTTCCTAACCTATCGTGTTCCTCTTGACAACATCTTCTCAAAAGAAACTGCCATCGAGAATTATTTCAAGTTTGCAACGGTTTATATATTTTTCTTAAAATAAATTTTTTAGTAATCTTATTTTAATATTTAATCATTGAATGTTTAAGATTTTTGAATCATATTATTGAATTTTAAATTATACTTATATTTTAAAATATCTATCAAATATTATAGTATTTTGTTTATACTGTAATATCATTTGATAGATGCTCAACCCTTTTTAAAGTAAAATTGAGATACAATGTGCCAGCACGTTTTAGAATACTAGTATATATAAAAGTATGGAGGTAGAAGAATTTCTTTTTTTTTTTGGGACAATTTTTCCTTAATTTTAAAATTAAGACATAAATTATCCTTACTAAATTATTATTTTTTATTTATAACCTCCACTGCCCTTCCACTCTAACACTAACGTTGCTTCTTCCCTCTCCTTTTTAAGGGTTTCGTTTTTTAATCTTTCTAATACCTTCATTTAAGTTTCTTTATTAATTAATGATTTTATATTCAAGTATCATCAAATAATGAAACTTAGAAAACTTAGAGTATTTTATATTCTAAAAAAAAAGAGAAGTTAGAGTGTTTTAATGGTTAAATGATGTTTATTGTACTAAAAAAAGGTTAAATAATGTTTYAAGGAAAAAGTATAAAAATATATTGAAATTAAAAATATGTACATTGATGAAATTGAAACGACAAAAATCCAAAACTTTTGAATATAAAAGACTTTTGTGAATTTATATTTTAAAAATAATTTAAAATTTTATAACTATAAAATAGATTAAAAAACTATCGAAAAATACTTTTGTACAATTTTATTTCTTTATAAAATTTAAAATTTAATCATAGGTTCATTCACAAAATAGAAATGACAGAAATCTAAAACAGTTTGGATATAAGAAACTTTTGTGAATTTATTTTCTAAAATTAATTTAAAAATTTATAAGTATATAAAATAGATTAAAAAACACCATATTTTGGAAAATACTTTTTGTAAAATTTTATTTCTCCACAAAATTTAAAATTTAAAAAGAATGGCACTCATAATTAATTATTAATAACTATTAAAATATATTAACTTAATTTAAATCATAACATTTAACATGAATAGTTGTCTTTGCATAAGTTAATTAATTAATTCAATAATTATAACCCTCCATTATATATATATATATATATATATATTTTAATGTCAAGAGTTTTGGAATTTCAAAAGATTTACCTTTCATTTACAATAATGATTTTTAAATATTTTTGTTGTTTGGTTTGAAAAGAATGGATGAATTTGAAATCAAATTTTTTGCCTAAAATTTTTTCCTTTCAAATAGGTAAGATTTGGAAGAATTTGAAATTAAAATGTAAGATGTTCCAAATTTATTCTAGGAGAAAAAATAGATATTTCATTTTTTTTAATTTATTCACATCACTTCACCTTGCATCCATACATTCATATAATTATTTTTTGAGTTTTTTTCTATACAAATGGTCAGGCATGCTATAATTGTTTTCTTTTTGTGTCTTTCTACGTACATCTTTTTGGATCACCATCCATCGAAATCCAAGTTTACTTTTGTATTTATTTCTTCTTTTTTTCCTTCAAAATATTGACTTAAAAGAAAAAAAAAATGTTCATATTTTTCAATGTCATTTATAGTCAACAACACAAATTAGTATTGYTGGAGAGGATGCACCTAGAACTTAATCGACTATTTTCTAACACACATTATCTCAAGTCTAAGAGAATGCAAATTTGAAACACATCTTCTATATACTAAAATAAAACTAAAAATACACATTCCCTAAAAAATAATAGATATATTATATTATTATTTAGTTAATGTTATTAAGAACAAAAACTACGTCGAGTTAGTCAACATGAAGTTAGCTGATAGTAATTGACATTAATCTCTAATCAAAAGATGATAAATTTAAATCTCCCCACTTTATTTTTTTTTTAAACAACGGTCATTTTTTATTTTATGTCAAATAGGTTTTTAACTTTTTTTTTAGTGTCAACTGTAAAAGACCAATTTAACCCTTCAAGTAAACTATATATATAATTTATAAATGGTTTAAAATAATTTTTAAACATTGACGTTTTGTAATTATTGCTTCTTTTAAGGGGAAAAAAACCATTCCTTTATTAATTGAAGAGGATCTCAAAATTTAAACCTAAAAATTTGGCGCTCTTCTCTTCTCAGATGACACCGGAAAATCTCCTCCATCTTCTTCAATCCTCCCAGAAGTGCACTTTCGGATGTCCGATCCTCGACCGCTGCGCCGGCGGCGGCGTCCCCTGCAATTCCCTCACCGAAATCGTCGCTGAGAGCGGCTCCGGCAAGACCCAACTCTGCCTCCAACTCTCCCTCTGCGCCCAGCTCCCCCTCTCCAATGGCGGCCTTAATGCCTCCTCTCTCTAYATCCACACCGAGTTCCCTTTCCCYCTCCGCCGTCTCCAGCAGCTTTCCCGCGCATTTTGTTCCTCTTACCCCCAATTCTCCAACACAAACCCCTCCGATCATATTTTTGTGGAGSCCGTTCACTCCGCCGACCAACTGTTCGACATAATGCCCAAGATAGAATCGTTTCTTGCCAATCGCGATTCGCAGTTTCCCACCAGGCTTATTGTGATCGATTCGATCGCGGCGTTGTTTCGGTCTGATTTCGAGAACACCCCGTCCGATCTCAAGCGAAGATCGGCTCTGTTTTTCAAGATTTCTGGGAAATTGAAGTTGCTGGCAAAGAGGTATTCTTTGGCCGTGGTGTTGACGAACCAGGTGGTCGATTTGATGGGTTCTTCTGATGGGATAAATGCTATGAGAATTGGGAATTTGAGGTATCTTTGTTCGTCGGGAAGACAGGTTTGCCCCGCGCTCGGGCTTGCGTGGGCTAATTGTGTTAATTCAAGATTGTTTTTGTCAAGAAATGAGGAAGTTATTCAAGAGGGCAATAGCATGATAAATGGCAGTGAAGTAGCTCAAAGAAAAACTAGAAGGTGGCTTCATGTTGTTTTCTCACCCCATTTGCCTAAATCATCTTGTGAGTACATAATCAGTAGAGAAGGAGTTGTAGGAGTTGAAAGCCAGTGACCCCTTCTTAAGATTTTAACAAGGATTGAAGTTATGAAGTCTGAGGTTTGAAAGCCTAAGTTAGTATGTATAATCTATATTTTGATTGTGTGAAGGAATGAGTTATAGAAACTTGGATTTGTGCAACTTGTGTTTGATTGAAGAGTTAGAGAATTTGTAAAAATTGGTATATGGTATAAAAAGAGAAGCCCAAGAATTAGCAACTCTGTGGTTTCTTCGTGACTATTGTAATCATGACTTATAAATTTTTGGCAATTGGGAACTTTTTTTGTAGTCCTTTTGGCACAGTGGATATAGCTCATCTCTCCCTTTTTCTGTTAATCTCTTTTCAAGAAAATGGTTCGTTCATTGTTCGAGAATCGACCTCCTAATAAGGTATTTTGTTAGAATCCAAAGAAAAAGGAAAAAAGAAGAGAGCAGAAAAGGGTAAAATCACGTTTTCCCATCCTGATTCATGTGATTAAAAGTTTTAGCTAGATATATGATTTTTTTTTCATTTGTTGAGTTCAACCAAGGAGAGAGTGAAGGAACCTTCAATTTTTTAGTCGAGAATATATACTTTAATTGATATATTCAAGTAGGTGATATATATATAATATATATGACAATAACTCTCACTCAATAGTAAATAAYATCCCTTTATTGTACCAAAGAAAAGTACTACATAACGATCAAATCTATCTTTCATCCATGTCAAGATTTTTTCTTTTTACCCTTTTGGGAGAAGAGGAAGATGTTTAGGATAGACACGTTTACTTGTAGTTTGGTCTAATATAGAAAAAGAATAGGAAAATTTTTCCAAGACAAAGTTACTTCTCCAAAATCCTTTTCTTTTTGTGACTTCACGTCAATAAAAGCCCAGTTTTTATTCTCTTTACTCTAAGTTTATGAGCACTCTAACGATTTCTTCATTTTCTTCTATTTCTTGCTATAATCCATGAGTTTTAAGACTAACCAATATTTGAAATTAAATTGGTACAGTGCTCCTTCCATTCAATATCAATTCCATCCCTGACCTGACAAAAATGGTAAACATGCTACAGCATCTTGCAATCCGATCCCGATGCTGCATTAGGTTAGGAATTGAACGATAATAGCTCCTCTTCACCCCGAAGCGAAGCATGATGTCCTCTTAGGCGTGCAACACTAAGTAATCCAAAACAGTGGGTAATCAAATTTTTTAGAGGTACCAAGTACAACTTCATGAATCAGCAGAATGAAAGTAGCACTAATGAATGATAAAAATCTATGTGAAAATTGTTCAAAGAAGATTAAATTGCTTCACATATTTTTGCTTCAGGATCTCTACTGTTTACATAAAATATAAGAAGTTACTTGGGAATCCTCTTCTGTGTGAAGTGGTAATAAATAAATAAACAAAGGCTCTTTCTCGTTTCTACTAAAAAACAAAAACACATAAAAGGTTGACTTTTTATTTTTTTTGGAAAGAATAAAAATAATTGCATAAAGCCAGAATATTTATTTACACTGGTAGAATGTTCTCTGTAAAGCTAACAATTCAACAGGGCATTTACACTTTGCACTTTGCAGCTACAACAGTAATGAAAAACTTACCTTTTATTCCTGTTCTGAGGTTGGATATGGCATGGAAACTCAGAAGAACATGAATGCTATGATTCTTCAAACGCCTGTTCAACAACTGTAGAGCCAGCTCCAGTTCATGTAAATATACAAAATGAGTTAAATTCCAAAGTAGAAAATAGATGAAAAGTAATGCATTAATCATGAATTTAAAAGAATTTATTAATTGTGATTATTTTTTGGATAAGCCACGGAGTATTATATTTCATAAAGAAAGGCAGCTAAATCAACTACTTAGGAGCCGTCTCTAATGATATCTACAAAAAGAGTCTTCTAATAGTTGATAACCATCGACAAGACTATAGTTACAGAAGAATTTTCTATGGTTAGAACACCACCAAGAGGTATAATCTATTATAAAAAGAATCAAAAGAAGACAACTTATTTTAAAAAATATCTATTGGATTTTATAAAAAAAGGGAAAAGAAGGACCAGCTTTCATTTGCTGCAAAAGATTAAGTCAATAGTGCGCTAGGCACTATTAGTGTCAAATTTTAACTCATGTTTAATGGTTTTCCCCAAGTGGTTACTATATTTGGGGTCAACGATCAAACTGTAACATTGATTGATCCAAAAGTTCTTGATTGATATATTATTTGAAAGCTCTTAATCATCTTGCAGTTAAAATGTCTGCGTGCTTCAAGTTTTATTTTAAACAAGTTTATTGATAATGATAGACGTCCATATTTTCTATCATTTTAACTACAACCAAGGCTGATTTGACACAACAAGAAATAGATGCATAATTTCCTCATTGATTTGATCATAGGAGTTTTTTGTTTCCTTGTTCTCCTAATAACTATCTCCAATAGATTCGGAATATGTTTTCTTTTTACAATTTATCTCATGCATCTCCAACGCTGTAAAACTACCATCAATATTGTGGTAGTCTCCTCCACTAATTTCCCATGCGTGTGTGCTGGGGAGGGGGCGTTTCAAAGTATTGAAGCGCAAGTTGGGTCAATGTCCACAAAATTGGTGGTCATAAAAAGAAAAAAAGAAGAGACATGAAAACCTTATAACCGTACCTGTTATAATAAGAAAATGTTGCATGCACAATGGACTCGATCGAAGTCTCAAGCTGAATAAAAGACAATGGGCACTGCAAGGGAAGAATGGGAGGAACGACAAGGGGGAAGCATCATTAGCAACATTTTCACAAAGAGAACAAAGGAATTTACTTACTACAGTGCATACAATCAATCTCGTCTGAATTTTAAAACCATTTACATCCATTCAGATCTCATGACATACCAGACCACCAGTAAGACGAGAAACATATGATTCATTAAGTTCCAATCTTGTGGGGTAAAGCCAGTAACCAGCAATCCAACCATCAAGAACAAGTATAAAAATGCTTAATTAAAATATGAATTAACTGATACTAGATCTGGAAGGCCAATAGGTGCTTTCTCAATGCAAGAAAAAATGGCTAATTGAAAGTGATATGAACGTATTGCAGTCATGGTTTACAAAACCATAGAACTACATTGGGATAAGAGAGAATAAAGAGGGAAGAAGTCAGGTCCAAATGCCAACAGAAAAATAAATGAATAACAAAAAATAAATAAATAAGTTTTAAAAACACATATCGTCAGCTGAGATTCTCATTAACTTCCTCGACCATTATAATTCAACACACATAGACATGGATATAAGAAACCAGTCAATGAGGTTCTTTTAAAACAAAATTATATCAAACAATATCATTAATAGAGAAAAGATACGTATGAAGGGGTCCTAAATGTTCCGCTTTAAACCAGGACATAAAGAAGATTACAAGTGGCTATCCCATTCACAGTGAGAAAAAAAAATTAAAGAACATAACAAATATCTTCCAATAAATGCCACAAGGCAGCTATAAAATGGAAAGCCAATATCTCTCCTACAGTTTTACTTCTTTATAACCCACATATTAGTGGACCACACTTCTCTTGTATTATGTCCATGGCCCTCTCATACTAATTCCCAGGGAGGTCACCTACCATAAAGTCGGTTTTGGAAATTTTTTGAAGACTTTTCACCTAGAAGATTGAGCGTAAACCATCATGGGTTGAGCGGTCATTTGGGCCAAAAAAACAAATAAAAAAGGTAAAAGGCTTAGAGAGAGTGGATTCAAATCATCGTGGCTACTAATCTAGGTCTTAAAACATACATAGTCAAATGCTTGTTTTGTGAGATTAGTTCAAGTCCTCACCAAGTGACCCTTTGGAGGCCATACCACTCATATACTTGGCTTTGAAGATCCTCATGTTCCCCTCCAAATCTCCCCCATCAAAGTTTTTAACTTTATCATTATTATTATTTTAATGATAAGATTACCGGCTTTCATTAAGCATCCCACGAAGTTGCAACCTAGTTTTAAAAATGGTCATGGGCTTGAAATGAACCAATAGGTCATCGCCATGCTTGAGAATACCTACCCCAGCTAGCATAAGTGCTTCCAGCCAATTCCCACATTTCGTGAGGAAAAACCACAAAGCATAAGAAGATGATCAATATCTTCCTCCAAATCTGAATAAATACCTACATCTCTGTATGTTAAGGTACAAGTAAGGATATATTATTTTTTTTTTGATATCCGTGTGTCCAGGCTAGCTTGCCCACACCTCGACTAATCACGTGCCAACCGCCTAACCCTACTACATTTGGTTGACAAGGTAACTCGTAGGATATTAAATTCTAGGTAGGTGGCYACCATGGTTTGAACTCATTCCCTCTAAGCCCTAGGAAGGATATATTATTTTGAAACCGCTTCTTGGTATCTTCCAATAAACTACCCGCCAGATGAAGACTTTTACCTAAACTAAACTAAAGCAATTCAAATGGGACCTTAACTGGTTATCAAATGGAACCTTAACTAAAGCAATTCAAGATAGTCTAAAGTTTGTCTATGAATCTACATTCGGAAAGTCTCATAGCATTACCAATATGAGAGAGCTAGCCAAGATTAACCACCAGAAAATTAAGATTTCCCCAAAAAATTTTAATTAGTAATCTCTCATTGAATCCTTAGAAGTTCGTTAGGAATTGCAGCTTCCTAGCACTCTAAAAGAAAGTAAATCTAAAACCATGTAATTTCTTGGATGTAAAAATTCTCTACACATAAACAACGTACTTCAAATTGAATCAAGATGCTGTAAACTTTCTAAAACTTGAATGCCGTGCATCATCAAGAAAATTAGAAACTTACCGATCAAGAATATGGTCAACATCAAAGCAAGAGTAAATTGAACAGAACATGTAAGCTGCAGATGCCAGGGTCTGTATATTTGTYGTTGAGACTGAACCCTACCAAAGAGCTGAGAGAAAATATACAGTGATATTTCACTTAGAATCCACAAGGGCACAATTACAGAACAAAATATAGTCTGTTTCGATTCAAATGAATGTTTGGGATAAGATATACTATGATTTATACATAATGCAGAAAAATTGTAGAATATGAGTTCATGCCCCATTATTTTTTACAATAGTATAGGTTATCTTTCTCCCTTGCAATAAGAAAACAGAACTAGATTAGTTTCATCATAAAGATAATAGCCAAAAAGTATTTAAAAAGCTTTCCGTTTCCTATCAGAAAAGAAATTTAAAAAAACAAACAAACAAAACCAAGTCTACGTGATTGGAATTTGGAACAATTCTGGCAATGCTCACCTTAGAAAAATTTCCACATCCTCGCTTCCAGAAGACTGATCCTGATTTTCCTTTCCGGGTAACTTCTACGCTCGAAATAGGTTGTTTTATCTCTTGCTTTTCATCCTCGATTACAATTTTCAGCTCAGGAGCAGTTGGTGGGCTTGCTCTCCTTGCCTTCGTCGTTCTATCCATTTTGCATAATGCGTCGTCTACTCTTACAAAACTTTCTCTCACTTCCAGATCTTTGAGTTTCTGTGAGTCTGTATCTATAGAGTAAACATATTCGTTGCCTTTCATTTTAGAGGAATTACTCAGGCTGCAGGTAGGAGTAAGATTAACTTCTGCCACTGCTCTTTCACAATTCTCGTATGCATAACTTTTTGCTGAAGACTTGGACACAGAGGATTTAGTTTTCGCATTTCGTGGTACTTGGGATGTTCCAGAGAGAAATGTAGCCAAATCATTGCATTCTTCCTCATTTAGATTTACCCACCGAAGAGGCTGTTTGCCCTCTTTGTCATAAGATTCTCTTAAAGCAGCTTCAACCAGGGAAATTCGATACGCAATGGCCGCAACAAAATGTCTATGTCTTTCCAACACAGGTTCTTCACTTCTGGAACCATAGCTAACTCTAACAGCCTTCTCAAACTCTTCCAACTAATTAAAAACAAGAAATCAATACATATGATTATGAAATGACTCATGGTTGACTATCGTTGCTGTACAGTGCATCTGGCTTATCATCTAAGCGTCCCAATTCACTGAACTGCATACTATGATGGCAGCAGAAAATAGAACAGATGCATTATTCAATTCAATTCAGTATCCTACCTGCCATTTGGCTGTCCCTAGAGTCGTTTGCAGCTCCCAACGGAGTTCATCCAGATCATCAGGATTTAGCCCTTCTCTTCTCTCTCTTACCCATGTCCTAAATGCAAATTCCATTCTGAAATTTAAAAAAAAAAAAACAACAACAACAACAATAGGAGGATAAATACAGGAGTCAAGAGAAAGGGAAATATAGTAATCTTTCACTACCTAAAGTTTATTGGCCTAAAAAATGGGTCAACAAATAAAGAAAGTAGTAGAATACCCAGAAAGCGCGGTAAGTAAATGAAGTTAGAGAGCAGAATTCAGGGAATCTTTCCGAGTGCAGCAAACAGAAAAGAAAACTTCGTTGCTGGATAAATTTTATGCTATTAAACCATTACTTGAGTAAGAACGCGACCAAGTGTAACACAGAACACAAGTTAAGCATCTTGAAAACATACGGAGAGACCAGAATAAGGAACTAACACGAACAACTCCTAACAAGCGGAATCAAGAAACAGAAATCATCATGAACCGACCAAAAAATTCCACAACAAATCAAAATTGAACTCAATCAGACATCGGGAAAAAGAAAATGAAAAACCCAAATCAAAGCAATAGTCAAATCAACGTACGTATCAGCAGATTCTTGAACCTGCTCGGCTGCAGAAAAGAACCCATCCTTCTTCCACAAATCGAAACTATTTGCAACTAACATTGTGCGATAAGAAGACAAAACGAATAGGGAGAAACAGAAGAAAGATGATGAAAGAAGAAACACCAAGCTTCAGAATCAAAGATCAAAATCCGGAAAATCAAATGGCAGCTGAAAAATCCTTTGATTCTTCCTTCTTCCTTCTTCCTTCTTCCTGTGTTGGTGTGCTCGAGAGAAGCAAGAACAGAGACGTAGCTGTCTCTCTCTTTATTCTTTTCTGTTGGATTTTATTTACGACTTCTAAATTTTAATATTTTTTATTATCCCTTATTATTTATATTTTACTTTTTAACCCGATCTTTATTAAATTRGAGATTGAAATTATAAGAGAGAAAAAACAAATTATATATTTCATTTAACCGCTGGTGTTCAAATTGGCCTTTATTTTATTCTTTAAACCTTAATATTAATAGGAAAAATTTAATTATAAATAAATTAGTTTAAGTGTCAATTTCAAGATGTTAATAATTTTAAGATTCAAACTTCTGTAATTATAAGTCAAATGTTTAAATTGTCCCTGCACCTTGTTTTTAAACATTCAAAAATATTTGAGAATAAAAGTACAATATAATATGTATGTTGATAACTTATTTTATGAGTATGACAAATGTCTATATAAACAAACATGTGAAGTAAGAAATACTAAAATATATTCTTAGGTAAATTTTAGTCGGGATTAGAAGATATAGAAAATTCTAGAGGCTGAAGTAATAATGTTTTAAATATTTACATTTAACACATCATTTAGTGACGTAAATGGGAGTAGTATGGAGCTCGTAGTAGAGGAAATTTTTCCGTTCCAATGTGTGATGTAAGAGGGAAAAAATACTACGATAATTTTTTCGTACTACCTTCATTTATTGTTGGTAATTAACGCAATATTTAAGAATAATGTGGATTCTATTAAATGAAATAATATATTACTTAATAACGTTAAAAATGTGAATGAAAAAAATAGGTAGAATTCTGGTGGTACAAAAAATTCTATTAGTAAGACAAGGTTGGCCATGGGAGAGGGACAAAATGGACAGGTTGGTGTGGTGAGCTGGCAATTTCCAAGTGCGGCCATTTTTTATTGGCCACCAATTCAAGTAAACTGTGGAACCACTAATATCCTTAAATAATAAAATTATTTTAAAAACAAAGGACAAAATATAATAAAAAAATTAAAAAAAAATGGTTGGTGTTTGTTGTTCAATAAGCAATTCATTATCTATCAAATTGGTTGACAAAGAAAAGTTAGTTGGTGGAGTTGGGAATTACATTTTTCCTCAATATAAACCATAACTTTGTGAGCAGGAAAAAACATCTTTCGGAAGGAATATTTGTTTTTATATGATTTATATAGTTTTTTAACATTGTGATTCATTAATCAATAAAATATTGTCATCATGCTCACTTTGCTTTTAGAGAGCATTATTCTCTAATTATTTATGTCAGCAAAAAGTCTGGACAAAGCCCTCATGTTGGTGATTATTGCAAATTTTTTTATTAAAATTTGTAGTTTATTAAAAGATGGTTCAAAACCTGTTGGCAGGAGATCGAACAATTAACCTTTGAGATAGCTATTTTTGGATTGGTAAAAATGTATTTGTCCTTGATTTAAAACTTAATGATTTTTTTAAGTGTTATTTAATATTTTGGTCACTATTATTGATGTTACTTTGATAAATCTTTCAATCTTAATGGTATGCGCTGGTTTGATGGTTACTACATAATCACATAATCTTTTTTAAAAATATTTGACATCACCTAACATATAGAAATAAAACAATGCAAAAGAAATAAAACAATTTTCTTAATTTCAATTCAACATAAACTTGTTTACTTTCATACCCACTGATATTTCAAAGTGTAGTTGAATGATGTTAGGCAGATTATCTTTAAGATTGTGATTCCATTTATACTACAATGTCGATGAGCAAAACAATTTCAACTTTCTTTATTACATTAAAAAGTTGAGAACTAATATATAATTTTGAAGAAAACCTCCTAATTGCTATCTACTAGACAATCTTTTAATGATCATAGATTTCCAATAAATTTAAAAGTTCATATCTAGTTGTTCTATTCGCACTTTGAGATACGAGTCCGTCTAAAAAAACATAGCTATTATTCTATCTTGTATCATTTTTTAAAGTGAGTATATTTTTATATTGCTGGTTTTTTTTCACTCCTTTGAAGTAACATGAATTATGTAAGTCGTAAGATTAACAAACTCATAATCTAAGATCAATAAATACAAGTCATGTATAAGTTTGACTTCTTAGGTTCTTATTACACTCCATCAGCCTAAGCTACGAGCCAAAAATTACCTTGAGAATGATTAAACCAACAATTAGGCTTATCTAATCACAATCATTCAACAATTCAACTAAAACACAAAATCAGAAAAGAAAAGGGGAAAAAAATCATATTCAACAGAGCAATCTCTGGAGAAGCATCCTCAGAAATTGAATATTTTTTGAAATTTTGTTAAGTGCTTTTCTACTCATAGCCTCAAATAGTTGGATGGAGAATAAAACAGCCCCAAAGTTTAGAACCAACAGAATCATAGCAACCACATCAAATCCAATCCCAACAAGCTTTTTATGAGGGGTGATTTGGTGAAAATGACATGGACTACAAAACAAAAGTAGAGCACTAAGGTCCCAACAAGCTTCTCCTATTCTTTTTTGAGATCAGCCTCAGTCACAGTTACATTCCAATAAGCACCTAATGGTATAATATTCTAACATCTAGAGTTCATGGGGCTTCCATCATACATATCCAAGTCAAAGTTCACAGCATGATCAGATCAGTCAGTCACTAGCAAATCTTCCACGTTTTTTTTGGCCTAATTGTTTATACAAACGCCCTATAATTTTCAGGACTAGCAATTTGCTTTATGATGAACTCTCAAAAATGGCTTACCGAAGAATGAACATACCTGAAGTTTGTGTTTTTAGCCTCGAGTGTCCTCTAGCATGCATTCGCATAATGCAAGTTCCACCATTTTGCGGCCGGCATAACATGAAGTCGAACCTGAGGAAATTATCCTCCTTTGTAGATCTTTGTATTTCAGTGCTAACTTTATATCCCATTCTATACTGCTCCTGCAAACACCAAAACTTCCAAGTTTATCCCAAAGTGTTGCTTCAAAGAAATTGCAATGCATTGTTTATACTCTTTGGTTAAATCCCACTTTCTTCCCTCAAGTTCTAAATTTGTTTCATTTAGTCAAGTTTTAGGTTTGTTCTGTTTTAATTCTTCGACTTTCAAAATATCTATTTTAGTCCTTAAACTTGAAAAAAAAAAAAAAATTGGTCTTTACTATCTTATTTTGTCGCCCAATATCTTATCTAATATCCACCTCCAACTTCAACCTACGTAGCTTGAATACATGCTCATGTTAACATATTGGTATAATTTGTTAAAAATAAAATAAGAGGGACCAAAATTATTATTTCTTGAAAGTTCATAGACTAAAATATTTTTAACCCTTTATATTTTTATTACTGTTTCCTAAAGAATTCATTACCTGTCTTCGTTCTCATCCTGGAGATTTTCCATCATTCCATCAAAGATTGAAATGAGATCATTGAGGACTTCCATTTCAATTTCCAGGCTTTCCTGAAGCTACAGAATTAATAACCAACAAATAGAATTCGGAATCCCATGAAAAGCATAAAAATATTTGTAAAATTTCAGGTTTTGTGATCAAAATTTTCCCACAAAGTTATGGTCAATAAATGAGAAAAACAAGATGAGAGTTACCTTACGCTTGGTGTGTAATCCAGAGCACCGAGCTTTTCGTAAACACTCTAATAACGGTGAGGGCATACCGTAATGGAATATGCTTTGGTTCTTTGACAACCAAGTTCCCCTCACCATATGAGTAGTCCAGTCTGATGTGATGCTATCATCATCACCAAAGTCAATATCTGCACTTGCAATAAACAATAGTAATATAAAAGTCACACATAAATAACATATTAAAGTAAAAGGAAGCATCATTCAAATGTCTACTGAGCAGAACTATAAAATACCTAATGGAATGACATCATTTAGGTTGTCCCCTTCAGGTAAAAAGCCATAGAAGGTAACCAGATGAGAACCAGTGTAATTCCCATAACTAAGATAACATTGTTCTTCTTTACGACATGGTCTTGATAGTCGGAATTTCAAGGAATTTGTTTCAGAATCAACTTTGCCATAGTGTAGTATGTGCGGATGCAACTGTACCATATAACCCAATATTAATGAAGCAAAGAAAAATGTGACCAAAATTTTAAGATGGTAAATTAAATAGTTACAATGTAAGAAATAAGAAATCAGAACACCGAGTTTAATGATGAAAAGTATTTTTTAGAAACATGAATCTATGATCAGCAAGGACAGTTGCAAATTTGCAAACTACTAACAGCCACGGCAAATAATTACAAAGACATGAAGAAATCAATTTGGGGTAAGAGGTATCCATATACCAAACAAGGAGGCAAAATTTTTAAAATAACCCACAAAAACTCAACCCCCCACCCAAACTCCAGAGGAAAATTTGTGGTATGGGAGGATGGGAACCAGGACTCTGGGAGGGAACTACAGAAACATACCGAGTGGTTGAGAAAGCCTGCAATTGGAACCAAGCAGGTCCTAAGATTTCCATCGGTAAACTTAATTTTCAAGCTATTTGTGTACCAAAGTTCACAAGCCCATAAGAATTGCTCCCATGAGTAGAACTCTTCTGGGAAAACATCAGGATGATTGTTACATAATGCAGGAACCAACTCATCGTATTGTTCCCTCAAGAGCTGCAAAGAAATTAACATTACATGTCAATACAAGTAGAAAGATGAATTATGATATCCAAAAATCAGACCATTAAAATGTAATAGAAAACACTGGACAAATGGGCTAAATACCCATTTATTAAGTGAACCAGACAAGGAAATCATTTTAAATTTTCAATTCATTTCTATTAATGTCTAATGTAGCATCTACCCGAACTTCCTGACCCTCAAAAAATACAATGGGAAAAATATAGTGAGATTACCTTTTATTTACATAATCAAAGGAAACTATAATTTATGTTTGTCACTAAGAGGTTGTTATAACAAATAAATATTGACCAGAAAGAGAATATTTGTGAGAATTGATAACCTCTTTTGCTTGCATTAGCTCATCGAAAAGTAGGGTTCCATCCAAAGTCACCATTGCACCAACTCCAAAACTCAACCCTGATAACTTTTTGTAAAATATTAGACTAGGAAAGTAGAAGTTACTCCAGACACATTTCAGAACATGTTTAGGATTTAGATAATTTGAACATAACTATAGTTTTGTTACTTTCCCGGTTTAATGCTCAGAAGTCAGATTATAACAATGATATTTTAATTACAAAGTAAAAGGAAGGGTTACAACATGTGAGATAAAAAGTATGCACCCCAATTACTATGATAAAGCTTGCCATCAAATTTTTCAAGAAGGAAATACACCAACAGTAGACTAGAAGAACATTCCTAAGTGAGAAAATTTCAAATATTTATCTCCTTTCAATAAGTTACTCAACTTGGACATGGACAATTCTAGCGTTCCCAAAATTACCATTAAAATTTTAAGGGAAAAAAAAACAACACAATAAAGAGGCAAAGATCCTTTACAAACATTGAAATGGACTAAAAATAACTGTCACTAGTCGCTACTAGGAAGAAAATTATACAAATTCAACTTTTTTTCAAAAGCAAGAAATGCATTTCATTGATTTAGTCAAAGGTACGAATATAAATTCCTCCCTCTAGGCAATAATAAAAAGTCAATACAATTTGAGTAAAATTATCGATGTTCAGTGAACGTTGAGAAAAATAATGTAACTTTACTGAATCGAGGACTTCTTTCCACAATCTTTTCCTTCCCAAGAGGGAGGTAAGAACCATGCTGCGGTCAGAGTCCTATCTTCCTTTTCTTATAAATTTATGCTGCAATGTATCTGAGTCGTGTTCTTTTTAGATATCTCATCAAAATCCTAGAAACGATTAAAGAGTTGAAGAGAATTCCAGCAATTACTTGGTCTCTCTACAGCGAGTAATCAGCTCGACTTGAGAGGGGTTTTAGACACCTACAGAACTCTTTTGTTATGTTAAATCTCCCATGACTCTCTTCCTTCACAGCTGAGTTCGTGTTCTTTCCCACAGCATTGTCTTTCTTGGGAATCGATTTCAATATTTATATTTTCCATATGATACTCCCGCCACTTATTCACTAGTGCTAGAGTCCTGAAAATTTACTCTACTATTTCCTAACGACTTCCATAGAAATTTTGTTCCTAGTCAACCTTAAAGCTTTTTTTCTTCATGAAGTCCAAATTTCCTTAAATACCATTTGCACATCATTGAAAACTGACCATGTTTTGTGCGCGTAGGAGAGAGGTATCCTTTCTTCCCTTCCCCTAGACTCTATAATTCCATATCCAATTATAAGCTGATAAATCACATCTCCTATTTAGAAAGGGATGGAAAGAACGTCTTCAAAGAAGGCACGGGTAAATTAACATTTCCTTATTCAAACATTAAGGAGAAAAAAGAATATACACATGTATGCAGCTGGGAAATAGACATTTAAAAAAAATAAAATAAAATAAAAAGAAGAAGAAGAAGAAGAAGAAGAAGAAAGAAAGAGATGTCGGTGCTAACTGTAACTGAAGACTTCATGAGCGCAACTAAGAAAGACCAATCATTTAATAAATGTGCATCCACATTGAGAAAGACCTAAAGATAGTGTAGTACCAGTATTAAACGCTTCTGGTAGAGTGTCAAAGTAGACCTTGAATTTGGAATCAGCAATGTGCTTCTCCTTCATGCTCCATAACAACAACATTGTCTCAGATGAGATGGCTTCAATCTTTGTTAGTATGGGATACTGAAATTTAAGTACAAAGTCATGATGGTTCTATCTTCTCTTTGTCATCATTCATTACAAACTTCTCTCTCTATATATTAAGTCTACAAATTAAAAAATATATATATATACATCATCCTATTGAAATCTGGACCATAGGCATTGACTTCAAAAAGCAATTTTAAGCTTTTAACTACCATAGTCTGGATTGCTCGATGTGACTACATATCCAGAAGACCAACTGAAGACAAATGGGATGTGTAATAATATCTTCATATGAAATGGTCTCTCTGGAAATATACATTATCTAGGCCCCAGGCAGCAGGCACTTGAACAATGAGGGAACAAAGTAACGTCAATGCACCTCAACTGGTGGAGAGAATAATTCTCTCACTGAGCCTCATTATATGATCAAAGATTATTTAAAATGTAAGATCCCTAAAAATTCTTGTCAACCAACTTTAACTCTAAAATTTCAGCATTAATTTGTCTGTGCAACATAGCATTGTTTAAGACGAGATGGGGAGTCGAAATCCAGCATCTGTATGGTGAGAACAAATATGGAATTCATTTCATAAAAGGCCAAGATTAAAATGATTTTTAATTTTTAGTACCATTTTTCTGTCAGCAAAGTTCTAGAAGATTCAAATTTTAAGATCGAAAACAACAACTACCAAGTGAATTTACCATGTTGCTTTTCTTCACCAGTTCCTCAGAAATAATAATAGCCATAGGGATCTCCAATACAGTGTCACCAACGTCCAGATCTTCTTTGGCTATGGTCCCTCTACCAGTACCTTCAACATCTATATGAATGAAAGACACAAATTAAAATTTTACAATTGCTTGATATTGGGAAACTTATGGTGCACCTCCAATGTTTCAAACTTCCAATTATGCAACAGGTTAAAATCAAACATCAATGGATGTGGGCACGAATATTGCTAAGAAATTGTGATTGTGAATACTTACAAGCTATCTGCAAGCTCGTTCTAACACCATTACTCTCACCCCAGTGTAATAAACAATTTTCTTTCACACAGCAGTCTCCCAAAGTTTTAGCATCCATACTGTATACATCTCCATACTCATGGATCATATCAATAACTGCCTTCCGTAGTTCTTGCAGGACATTCGATTGGACAGGCTTACAACTAGAGAGAGAGATGTCAACAAGAGAAATTATTGTATTGAGAGCCTCCATTTCATTCCTCGGGCTGTAGGAATCTGCTGGTGTACATGCATCATCTTCTCCAAAATAAATTTCAGGCTGCACCTCAAACATTACAGTAGCTATCAATAACTATTCATCCATATGAAGGTTAGATGGACTTCAGACTAAAATATAAATAAATACTACTTGTTTCCCCTCTTTTTTCCCAATATAAAGGAAAATACAGAAGGCAAATGAATTTTAGTTAAGCAAATCCAAGTACCAAAATTACTTGGCACTCCATCCAATGTATTACAAGATATACGACATTCTCAAACAGCACTATTTAAATATTTCCAGACATGACAGGAGAACATTGACCTAGAGAAAATCTTCAGGTTACCTCATTTAAGTGAATAATTCTTGCAATTTGTACCAATTCTTTCAGAACGGTATCTACTTCCTTGGGGCACAGAGAGCACTTCAAATAGATGCAATTCTCAGACTTGAAACCCTGCCTTTCTAATAATTTCTACAGAAAAATGTAAGAAAAGATAAGAAATGGTAAATCAACAGGATGCTAGAGTACTATACTGTGTCCACCAAACTAAGAGATGTTCAACAGATCAAAATACTTAACTTCTCAAATAAATATATGTACATGATAAATAGTGTACCCTATGATGATTATTGATTGTTAACTGTATTTTGTCAGAAGGTATAAATGACGATGGAAACTCTCCCCTGATCAACAAGTCTAAAACCATGCGGGACATTTCCTTACAGGTTTTGGCATCTCCAAGCCTTGTAACCCAAACTGTGACGTCTTTTTAAAGAGGATGCTAGATGTTCATGTGGGGAAAAAGATTCTTTAGGCTTTCAAAGTTATGTTATTGCTTGGGAAATGTAGATCAAAAGGATAACATGCAAATAATTATAAGATAAAGACAATGAAATGATCCATCACAGAGTTCACTTAAATGCCTGCATGAGTTTTAGTTATAGTTGAGTTTGGGAGCATGCCAATTTTGAAAAATAAATCTGGGAGAGATAGTATAGTAAATTAGTAATAAACATGGACTTATATTCATTTGGCTTCTTTTTATTATAATATGGTTTACCGTACAGATTCATAGGTTAGGGTTGGATTTCTGATACAACCTTTTTTACACCTCATACTTCTTTCCACACTTTCCTAACCAAAATAGCAGTGTACAAACTAACATGTGGCTATTCATATTTCACCTTTTTTTTGTCGAAAAGATGGTCATTTTTGTCCAATGCAAGACAAATTAAGCAGTCATTGTCATCTCTGACTTCATCAGATGAAGAAGGCTGCAACACAAGCAAATTCAAGAAGCGCTTAAAAACTATTTATTTGATATAATCATAGAAACATTAGAATAGAGTTGCATGACTTTTGAAGATTATACCAATAAGCTGACTGGAGTGCTCGGACATCTCAATACTTTTTATTAATTTGTTTTATACAAAAATAAGAAGTTTCTCAATGCAGTGCTTATCACATGAAACAGATTTTCTCATTCTTCTTGTTTTAATTTCCATTTTTCTAATCTCTCAATTGCCAGATCCTTCCACAAAAGCATAGATACAGCATTTGGAATCAAAGTCTTCCCCCACTCTGATTCTGTGGTAAACATTTAAAGATCAATTAAAAGAAGGCCACGGCTAACTGTCCGCCACCTCTGAGAAACAGTAAGGGACAAAACTCAAAAGTAAAATGACGAACTGAAATATGAATCAAACTATGAAAACAGAACTAATCCATCAGACCAAGTAAACTAGTATACATTTTCTAAATTCAAAATCTCAAAAACCAACATTGCGACACTAAAACATTCCAGGAGAACCGTATGACTAACAAACTCCACCAAAGAAAGAAGAACTACAACAGGAGAGCGAGAAATCGCCCAATACTTCAAATTAATGAGGACTACAATGAATAAGGATTCAATGAAGGTTTAAAAACGCTTTCTCTGCGTAGATTGGTCTCAGAAATGAAGAGGACATAGGAAACCGAGATCGGTGGTAAATATTCCTCCATGGGAATGGGGAAGTATAAGTAGACTACATGAAAGACAGAAGGAAAGAAAGAGTTCATATGCGGCAAAAGGGCTTTTCACTTCACCTGATAGTCAATCTCCATTGGAGAGCAGCAGAGTTGTGCCGCGGAAGTTGAAGGCAGACGAAACAGAGGGAGAGGGGAATTTGGGCGGCAGAATTTGTAGAAGGAGCTTACTTAAAGCTACCATTTCCTTCAGATACGGGGTTCTAGATGAAAGTTTTAAATTTCGATCGGACGGAAATCGACCCGTTTCAATTTCATGGAAATATCCATAAATATTTATGTAAAAACGAAATATAAAAAAATCGTGAAAATTTTTTTCTATTTTTAAATTAGTTAAAATAATTAATATTAATATTATATATATATATACATATTATAGTAATATTTTGTTGATTTTTTTATTTTATCGATTTTTTTATACTATCATGGAAATGTCGATGTCAAATGCATGAAAATATGAATATGTCGATGGAAATGTCAACATGTCAACGGATATTTAAAATCATTATATTTTTTTAAGAAACCTCCCCAAAATTGTACAAATATTTTAGAAAAAACAAAAATCAACTATAACTTTTTTTGTTTATTTTCCACTAATAAATAGAAACATTATCAGATAGGCTTCAAGTTTCTTGCTGACAACGGTATTTTCGTACTCAATATTGTCCACTTTAGGTATAACCATCACGACTTTGCTTTTAATTTCAACCAAAACGTTTCGTACTGATTTAGATAATTGTCACTTTCCTCCCTAACCAATGCACACCTTGTAACCCAACATATGATATAACGTTAAACTTTTCAATTTTGTGTTTGATAATTATATGAATTTTAAAAAGTATCGAATACATTAAGGACTATTTAGACACAAAATTTAAATTTTCAAATATTTACTAGACACTTTTTAAAGTTTATGAATATATTAGATACAAATTTTAAAATTTAGGACCTACAGACAGTTTTTATTTTATTTTTTTTATTTCATAGACTTATTGGACACTAACCTAAAATTTTAAAGACTAAACTTGTAATTTAACCAATTAAGCTTGAATGAGCCACAAGTCAAACAAACAAGAGTTAGGTCATTTATTGTTTACCTATACAATTTTAGAGATCAAGATATAATAAACTTGAATGGTTAAGATAGAAATTAATCCAAATTGAATTTAATAAATGTTATAAATGAATGATTCAATTATTAAAAGGGAAAAAAAACACTACGTAACTGGTTTCAATTTCGCTCTAGTTTATCTCAACTGGTTAGTAACATATTTTCGACCAACCGATAATGAATTAAAATCTCCACCATCCTCACATATTGATATATTAAAAGAAAAAAAAATCTAATTAGGACATATATAATTAACCAAAATATCTTTTGAATTCGCGCATAGTTGTTCAACTAAAAAAACTTCTAAAATGTTGTAGTCACCCAAATCTTTTAATTTGTATCAAATGAATCCTATATCAGCACTTCCTATTAAATTGCTCAATGTAAATTAAAAGATTAGGATAAATTTGAAAATTTTTAAACTTTTTTTAGTACTAACGTGTGAAGATGGGGATCAAATTCACGACATCTTAATTGGAGTATATGTCAATTACCGCCCAGTTAGCTTTTGATGGAAAATTTTTAAATGGAAGCTGAATACTATTTTTTTTTACTATTATTATTTACTGTAGGGGGAAAGATTGGATAAGTAAAAAATGAAAATATATGCCGTTAACTAATTTAGAAAGGACTATCACAGCTTCATTATTTAATTTTTTAAATTCACTTACGAAATTTTGCTCAACGATTATCGAAAACATTTTTATTTTTTTAAAGATGAGGGAATTAAACTCTCAAATTCCTTTTCAAAAAAGAAAAAAAAAACTCAATTTTAAGTTTTAAAAACCGGATAAGATTTTAACTTGAATTTATAAATTAAAATTTTAATTTATCTCCTATTTTATTTATTTTTTTTAGTTCAACATGTGGTGATGAGGATCGAAATCACAACCTCAACTATGAGGTTGGAGATTTAAATTACTAACTTATGCTCGTTTTGACCAATTTTTATTCATTTTAGTACTTATTAAACTTTCATTTTGTCCTCGCACTGTGAAAAAGTAACCATCTTAATCCCTATTCGTAAACTATTAACAATTTTTTTACACAATGAAAAACTTTTAATACAACTTTATAGTTACACAGGGATTCCATGTATATGTATTATGCTAAAATGATGGCAGAAAGAAATAAGATTAAGAAAGGAAGAGATAAAAACAAACGTCTTAAAATATAAAAATTAATTAAATGAAAAAATTTTAGAATAACTAAAATAGACATTTTCAAATTACAAATACTAAAACGAACTAAAACTCAAACTACGGTAAGTAAAAATTAGAATTTCGACCTATATTTTATAATCTCAATTGGATTCTAAATTTTCTATGTTGTTGTAAACAAATAAAAATTAATTAAAACTTCGGAAATATTGGACCAAGGCGAATGGAAATGAGATAGGTCATGAAATTTGTCAAATATGAACAACTTTAACTTGGTCTTTTAATCTAATCCTTTGAATATCCCAATGCTTTCTTTTTCTTCTTCGTTAACCACTCGGTTACTTTTATTTTTATTCTCTATTTTTAATAAAAAATAAAAATAAAACTTTAAAGTATCAATAAATATTTAATAAATGTCTTACTCGAGTTATGTTAAGTTGACAATAAATAATTGTCATTAATTCCATTAATTTAATGCATACGTGACATAGATTAACTGAATTATTTAAGAATTAGGTAAAAAAGAACTTTCTTCTTAATCATTAGACATCCATTGTTAGTGTATCATGTAAGTGTTAGTGAATTGATGACATGGACTAATTTAACAAAAATAAATTGAAAGCTCAAAAATCTACTAAAACTATTTTAAAATATTACCTAATAAAATTTTAAAAAACTTATTATAGGGTAACATCCAGTGCAACATGTGGCATTCCCCCACCAAGTTAACTAGGAGGCTTAGAAGACAAGGAAGGAAGGACACACGACCATTTAAGGGCTTGCTTAGGACATTCGTTGAAAATTCGCATAAGGACGGTTGTGATATAAGAAGATCTTCCAATTGCCAATAAAAACCCAATGAAGTGATAGGCACGACACGCCTGGTAGCAGAGCATCGATTTCCAATACTCTCCAATCTCGTAAGAAGCATAATCCCACTTTTTAAAAAACTATGGAATCTCTTGTATTTTATATAAAGCTGGTCTCAAAACCAACTCAAACTTAATACAAATTCAAGCTTCAGAATGCAACTGACTGAGTACCATGTCCACGTAAGTGCACATGGAGAACAGTTGTTGACGTATCACCTCGACCAAAATTATAAACATGCAATCAACAAAACCTTAAATCAACCATAATCCAGCGCTAAAAAGGAAAATTTGAAAGTTGTTGGACTAAAATAGAAGATTTGGTAGGTTTAGGTTTAGGTTTAGGTTTTTATGGGAAGGAAATTTGGGTAGAAAGAAGGAAGGGAGAAAGAAAAAATCAACGGATGACCTAAAAAACTTGAAACGCAGAAGAAGGGAAGGGAAAAAGGGGAGAAAAAGAAAACGCAAAGGGATCGAGAGAAAATGTCCGAAAGAGATGAATCTCTCTTCTTCTTCCCTTTCAAAATCCTTCTCCATTCCCTTCAAATTTTCTCGAGAAACAAACGGATTTTCCTGTCGATTTTCCTCCTCTTCGCTCTCCCTCTCTCTCTCCTCCTCTTCACCCTCTCTCTCTCCTCCCACCCTCTCAAATCCCACATTCTCCACCTCGAATCCGTCGTCCGCCGTGCCCCCACTCGCTTCGAGTACCGCCATGTCTTCTCCGAGTCCCGCGACGACGCCTTCTCCCTCCTCCGCCTCCGCGCCGCCTTCTTCCTCCCCATCTACGCCTTCTCCCTCCTCGCCGCCGTAGCCACCGTCTCCTCCACCGTCCTCTCCTTCAACTCCAAGCGCCCCTCCCTCAAATCCGCCCTCGCCGCCCTCCGCCACTCCTGGACCCGGCCTCTCGTCACCACCATCTGCATCTACGCCGTTCTCCTCGCCTACTCCATCGTCCCCAATACCCTGGCCTCCATCGCCCGATCTCCCGCCCTCCGATTCGCGATTCTCCTCCTCGGCGGCGTTCTCGAGGTTTACCTCATCGCGATTCTGAGTTTAGGCCTCGTCGTGTCCATCGCGGAGGAGCGATTCGGTTGGGATGCGATCCGAGCCGCGGCCGGCCTCATGGCGGATCGGAGGTTCAGCGGCTCCGTTCTCACGGCTCTGTTCCTTCTCGCGTCGAGCTCCATCGCGTGGGAAATGGAGGGGCTCATGGACGGCGTTGACCACTGGCTGAGGACCACGGCGACGGTCACGTCCAAGGTGGCGATCGGCGTCGGCGATAAGATCGGGTTAATTTCGTTGTACGGAATGGTAATTATCTCCGGGTACGTGGTAACTACGGTTTTTTACTGCGAGTGTAGGAAAAGGGAATTTGCTAGACTGGAAGATGAGGAAGATCATGATCATATCGTCATGGTCTAAATCTTTTACATATAATTTTATTTATTTATTTTTTTCCGGTTAAACGTTTTCAACTACTTCTTCAATATTGTTTGAGTTTCCACTGATGATTAAATTGGAATTTGCCTGGAAAATTTAGCTTATTATTATCAATTTTTTTTCCATGTCCATAATTTTCTTCAAATGTTTATTACGTTGGGATTTGTCTGTGAAGATGAAAATTTTGTTATCTTTAGTTTTTGTTTAAGTGATTACGGATTTGATTGGTTAAATTAGAAGGTAAAGTATTCAATGTATAAAGTTATAATTTTCGGACTCATTGAATACTTTGCATTAATTTTGATTCAGTCAATTCTGTTGGTTTAAACAAGAAATATTGATTCCTTCGGTTTCATAAACTATAAAATTTAAAATTTGTTGATGGGTTTTGTTTGGATTTTCTTTTTGTTGTTAGTTTTGGTTGTTTGGTCGATTTTTGTCAAGAAGTTGGACTTGATTTTGACATATGTTTGTACATTTTTATCTATGGGTTCTAAATAAATATCTCTGCCTTCGAATAATTCTAGATGTGGGTAAACATGGTAAGAAGAAAATAACAAAACTCGTATTTATGGAAAAGATTAAAATAACTGAAATGTCATTAATGATAGATATAAGGAAGTGATATATAATGGTAAAAAGTAAATTAACTTATAGTTGTCATATCTGTAATTCTAGATGTCGTAGTCAAAAAAATAAAAATCTAGATGTCGTAAATTTATCTAGAAAATTTTAAATAGGCACGGAAAAAAATTAAAAAATTGTCATATTTGTATTCCACGCCCAGTTTTGTGATTTAAAAAAAAAATGTTTGAAGTAAACAAAATGTTTTCTTAATATGCTTCTTGTCCAATTTTGGTACATGTACTTTATAATATCTTTATATTGTTCGACATTGGGTCGATACGCAAACTTAAGTTAGATAATGAGCATGAATATGCTATCTTTCAAAGCTTGGTACCATTATAGATAATTTATAGTGGAGAACTTTCCTTTCTTTGATTAGAATGAAGCTAAGTTTAATCTAATTTACTTGAACACTCCTTTATAAATATGGTTATTGGAATTGTAAGATTGTTGAGCCTAATAATTCATTCATTTAGATCAAAGTTGAATGAGATGAATCAACAGCTAAAATTAATAAGAGTAATTTTAGTTATCTAAATTTAAACAGTATTTTTCCTCTTTTATTTGTATATACAACTATTAAATCATTAACTAGAAGCTTATAAAAAACCTATTAAGGATAACAATTTATCCACCTTAGACTAACTCCTCTTCTCAAGTTGTGCATCTGGTTTCATTCAAAAAGTTTCGTACTTTCACTTTTATATATATAAATAAAAGTTCTTCTTATCTAATAAATATGAGATTTTAATCGCATTTCTAAAAATTCCAATTGAAATGAAATTGATAAAGAGACTTCATCTTTTATCAATTCAAACTATGAAATAAAATTTAAATCCACACTCGTTAATATTTGTCAATATCTCCTCTTGTTGGTCGAGATTCAATTTGAAGGAGAGTATGCAAAACCACCAAGTCGATTTTTGTAGAGTTCTAACCCCAATTGAATATCGAATAATTCAATTTTAAAATAGTAAAAAGTAATTTATCTACTTGAATTATGCTTAGATTAACTACCACAAAATCGGTTTTACACCATTTAAAACTAACATCTAATTTTTCTATAAGTTGGAATAGATCAACGAACATCTAATTAGTTCAATCAATTTAATGAAATTATTTATATATTTTTATTTCGACTATAATTTCAAAAACTTTTTTCGTAAAAAAATAGATTGAAAAACAAAGGGAAAAAATTATAAATAAACATAATTTTTAAAATTAAGAAAAAGAACACAAATTAAAAATTTAGAAAAAGTTGGCATATACCCAAAATAATAACAAACATAATATAGACTAATTAGATTTGTAATCACGACACAATCTTTCGCACATCTATCACTTAACAGTGTATTWATAAGTGATAGATATTTACCTATTAATGATAAACGCTGGCCTACAAAATCGTCATATCCATAAAATCTTATTACTTTGATATATACACAAATATACGAAACTATTTGTCACCCCTTAAAGCAAAACCTAATTATAAACTTTCCTCTTTTTTCAAATTTATTTCTTACCAATATTCTTGAGACAGTCAAATCAGATATACAATTTCTCTTCGTCGCTTTACCCAAAATGTCATCCTCAGCCTCAGGAAGATAACGTGGATGTGGGCATCTGAATTCTATAAAATAAAACCCATCTAATTCTTATAAAATGGTTTACTACACAAATGGATAAGAATTCATGTAAAGGAAGCGGTATAGTTTGGAGATGGCTTCCACTGCCTTGTCTTCCCAATACCTCTCTTTCCGCCATGCCCATCCTCCTGCAACTTTCTCCAGGTAATCTCGGCTTCTTCCTCAAATACCCATTTCTCCTCTCCATCAAATTGGTGGGTTTTATTTAGTTTCCCCTTTTTCATCTCGTGTGATTCTATCGGATCGAGAAAATTATCTGGCATCGATTTCTCTGTTTTTTGTAGCATCGGATGTTCATAGGTCGGTAGAGGGAACGATGAAATTAACTGTTTTCTTTTCTGGCAGCTGAGTGATTTGTTCTGTGCCTCTTACCCATTTCTCTCCTTGTTTTTTTTCTTCATTTAACTTTGTCTGTGATCATAGTTCATGTTGAAAGTAGCGTTTATGGGTTCTGAAAAACATCGCAAGCTAAAGAGAATGCCGAATAGTAGAAGCTTTATGTATTGAATTCGTGCATAGCTTAGTGGATAAGGGACCTATTACAAGATAAATTGCTGAACTAAGAAGAAGCTTTTTGTTCCCATCCTTTTGATCGATTAGAGTTTGAACTGCTCTGAGATGTCCAAGAATTTTGTATTCCAGGGTATGATTATTGGTGTAGGCCGTTTAGATTTCCCCCAATTTGATTTAGTTCGTCATGCTTTTAGAAGTGTGGTGCTTGCTTTCATGAGTTGGGCACTAAGAAACTAAGACCTACGTTATTTTACTTTTACAGGAAAGAATGTGGTCTCATTAGTATTTTACTTTTAGTCACCAAGAAGCCGAAATAAAGGAACTAAACGAGTGTGAAGAGCCATTGCAGCTACCTTGATCCTCTAATATTCTGGGCCTTCTTCACCAGTTACCTTACAAATTCTACTTGTCTGAGCTAACTTGCACACATTTCGACTAATCTCACGTGACAGTTATTTAGTCTTTTTTTTTTCCCCTGTCTATGGGAGTTACAAAAAACATCTCCAATTGGATATCAAGGCTATAAACTATAAATTATAATGATGGAAACGAGGAGAACATTTACGCCAAGAAACAACAAAAAAGACAATGGAATCAAAGAAGTGTTCAAAGGGGAGCTATTTTCTTGAAAAATTGGATGATTTCTTTCCATCCATATAGCCCAAAACCCAGCTCGGACAAAATGCATCCATAGAAGCTTTTTCTCCTTAGTGAAGGGGTGACCTGTGAGTAGGTAAACCAATATAGCTTCAGATGGTAAGGGAGTGTGCCATCTAAAAAGTAGTGAGGATTTTGTTCCAATATTTTGTTGAGAAGATGCAAGTGACAAATAAGGGACCTGTAATTCAGACTTTTCTTCACAGAGGACGACCAATGAGGGGATAGTTGCATATAAGGCATTCTCCACTGCAATTTGTCGCGAGTGTTAATAGCTTTCAGAACTAACCTCCCATAGAATAGAACAAACTTTATCTTTTTATGGTAATAATCACTCCATATGGACTTGTAAAAGATGGGGGTTCTTAATATTTGATAAATCCCGATTAAGAGAGTTGATAGAGAAGAGGCCATTTGGTTCCAAACTCCATAAGTATATATCCTTGTCCATAGAATGATGTTTTTTGGCCAAAATCTGTAGGAGGGATGTCATTTCTGTAATTTCTGCTTCTTTTAAATTTCTTCGAAATCTAAAGTCCCAAGGAGCCACTTCCTTAGACGGTTATACCACATTTCATCTATTGTATTGTAATCAGCTTGTCAGATGTCAATGCAAAAAGAAGGGAGTACGTGCTGTAAAGGTGGTCCTTAGTCAACCATGAGTCCTTCCAAAAAGCTGGGAATTTACCACCAACCACCTTGATGGAAATTCCGCTGAAGATCAGGGCCTATACCTTTAGAGTCTCTTTCCATGGTCCATGCACCATTGCTGTTTGTGGAAGCTCTCTGATGGTGGTGGCGAACAGTGGGCCCATATTTCTCATCTATCACCTTTAGAGTTTCGCCAAAGGGCATTTTCTTCCAACAAATAACACCAAATCCATTTGGAAAGAAGAGCCTTGTTCTTTGATTTGATATTGCAAATGCCGAGTCCACCTTCTTCCAAAGGCCCACTGACTTTGTCCCAATAGACCATGCCCTGCCCTTCTTTGTCTTTGTAGCCCTTCCAAAGGGACTTTCAGATGATTCTATTTCTCTCTAAATCTTTAGCGCTCTTTGTTTGGCTAGAAAAGAAGGAAAAATAATAAAGAGGGAGGTTTGAGAGAGTGGCTTGTATAAGTGTAAGTCTTCCACCTTTAGATATTGTAGAGACTAAAGTTGGAGAGAATTCAACGTTCTATATTCTCATTATTAAAGTCTATATATATATAGACAAATATACAAGGTTGACCTAATCCTATAAGGAGAAGGTAAAGGACAAATTAATATTAATATAAGAATATAAAATATACTAATATCTATACTCTAACACTCCCCCTCAAGTTGGTGCATATATGTTAATCATGCCCAACTTGTTAGACAAATAATCTATTCGTGCTCCATTCAACTTGTGTTCTGTGATTTTTGATATCATTGGGATCACCTCAGAAGTCACGATTGATTTCTTCTCAGCCATAACAAACAAACTAACTTATTTGAATAAAACGACAGAACCAAACAAAACCAAATCAGATCGAACCGAACTTGAACTTGATGAACCAAACCACTTGAAACCAAACCGGTTGAACTGGACCACTTGAACCGGATTAGGTATTTTCTAGAACCAGAAACCCTAAGTGCTACCCCACGACAACCAGAGGGGCAAAGGCGATTGGCGGTGATGGAAGCGCACGGCAACTAGCGGCGACGAAGGTGCGAAGAACGGCGAGACGAAACCCACGAATAGCAATTGGAAAACAGCAGCGTTGGCGAATCAGCAAACGGCGGCGACCGGCGACCGGCGGCAGCGGTGGTGGTCGGCGGCGGGCGGTGGTGAGTTGTGTTGGATAGCAATGAACAAAACCCTAAGGCACAAAACCCTAATGGGCACAAAACCCTAATGGGCGCAAAACCCTAATGGGCATCAAAACCCTAATGGGCGCAAGAAACTTAGAGCTCTGATACCATGTAGAGACTAAAGTTGGAGAGAATTCAACATTCTATATTCTCATTATTAAAGTCTATATATATAGACAAATATACAAGGTTGACCTAATCCTATAAGGAGAAGGTAAAAGACAAATTAATATTAATATAAGAATATAAAATATACTAATATCTATACTCTAATAGATATGAAGAGGGCTCCCAAGTGCTGAGCTTTTTTCTAACCTTTTCCAGCATAGGATCCCAAAAAGAGGAGGTATTGTACTTACCATTTAGGGGAAGACCTAAGTAAGTATGCCAGATACCATTTTTACACACAAACCAAGCTGCCAACAGCTCAATTTCAGTATCCTCCATATTAATACCCATCATTTCAGATTTTTGAAGGTTGATGTTTAGACTAGATGTTTCTTCAAAGATTCTGATGGTGTTGAAAATTTTGGAGAGGTGATCGTTGTCTGTTGAAGAGAAAAGAATAGCGTCGTCTGCAAATTATAGGCGATGGACTTGAAAAGAGATTTTCCCCACCGAACAGCTCTTAATCAGATGGAATCAGCAGCTTGAGTTATCAATCTACTGAGGCAGTCCACTATTAGAATGAAGAGGATGGGTGTGAGTGGGTCACCTTGTCCAAGGCCTCTTGTTGCCAAGAACGTTACTCTAGGTCTCCCGTTTATGAAAATAGAGAAATTTGTAGATGATTTGAATCCCCTAATCCATCTCCTCCATATAAGTCCAAAACCTTTTGCTTCCAGAATATCATTTAGAAAATCCCAGTCCACTTTGTCAAATGCTTTTTCAATATCAAGTTTTATGACCATAACTATAGTTACTAAGAAAATTCATATGATATTATCCCAAGTAGGTGGCCATCACGGTTTCAACTCATTTCCTCTTAGCACTTTACGTTTTTATTGAATCCAATGATCACTAGGTCAATCCATGGTAGTTCATCATTATTCACTCATTATTTACTCCTCTCTTTGTGCTCTGTATATTCCCTCAGTGAAGGGATTCCATTCGTTCCCTAGAATTGGAAAAATTCAGAATGAGGAACTTCCCTTAAAATGCTCCAATTTCCTAAGACGTATATAGGCATTGAAATGAGCGCTAAAATGTCGTCTCATTTACTTTTGAGCTATGTCTCAAAAAATGTGCCCAATCATTCTTAACTAGATGTTCCAAATTATGGTGTTGAAACTGAATTCGTAGATTTTCGCTCTTCCCTGTTAGTTGATGACCAGCAAAAGCACTTAAATAGTTGGATACAAGTTTCCACACATTAAATGGTGCTGATATTGTAGCCATTATTTCGGTCATGGGAAATGTTACAACTCTAATTTGAAGTGTTATAAGAAAGGAACTAAAACAATATTGAATGAATTTGTTTAACTGATATTATCTGTTGATCCATGGGCATTATTTTCTGATCATGAAACAGTATTTCATCCTTGCTAATTGCTGCATCATTCTTGATGTTCCTTTCCTTTCCAGGTGGGGTTGGAACAGGGATCAAGGTGGAGGCAAAATTACCCATAGAACAAGGGGTCAAGCGTTTCGAATCTTGGCCAACCCTAATGTACGCTTTGACTCAAGGCTTCTACATGTTTAATGGCAATATATTTGGTTTGAATATGGTCAAAGATTTTGTAGGTATGTCATTAGTAATTGATTAGTGAATGCTTATGATAACAAACTGCCTAGATATATTTGGAGAATTCTCCCCCACCTGGCCTTGAATTTGAATAGAATCAATCTTTCAGCATCTCTTATGCTTGAAATTTGACATAGTTGGCTGTCTGATTCCTTGGATTTGAAGTGCTGTGACAGTTGATATACCGTTGTTCGGTTACTTGTTTATCCTATGCTTGTTATTAGATCTTAGGATTTCTATCAACCTTGGAGAATCTGTGATTCAATGCATTTTCTTCCTTTTGGATTTGTTTTCATCAAGCTGCAATCTCGCAATAAAGTCATTTTGTAAGTTGATTATGGGCTTCTGTTCTGCAACAAACATATATTATGTCAATTGTTTAGGTCTCTCCTGGGAAAGATGGCTTTGTTAAAGAGGTGATCATGGTAGATCCTTTGGAAGCCAAACGAATGGCTGCGAAACAAATGGAAAAGATAAAAGCAAAAGAGAAATTGAAGGTAAAGAAAGTTATTGTCTATGGTGCAAAACTTGTTTATAAACAGTATGGATAGTTTTCCTAAGTTCTTTCTTGAAGGAGAGAATAATGGCTATACAAATTTAAGATGTGCTGGAAATAATGTATGTTGTGAAATGTGAACGCAGCGAAGACGTCAAATAGAAGCGATTAATGGAGCATGGGCAATGATTGGTCTCACTGCAGGGCTCGTCATCGAAGGTCAAACTGGAAAAGGCATTCTAGCGCAGGTGAAAAGTTATAGTTTTCTTACGTTCTAACATTATTAGAAATTAATATTGGTTTAGGACATACTCAGAAATGGTAGCTTAAAACCTTTTCTACAGTAACCCCAATGGTTGTGCGGAGCGGTTAAAAAGGTCCTTAAATACGACAAGAATTTATGGCATCGACTGCTTCATTTAGATACGTTATTTTCACTCGAACGTTACAAGGTTCGATGATAGTCATCATTTTTCTTCATTTGAGTAAACATGGAGGTGAAAGTGTTGGGTTGGACAACAGGTGCCTAATTTCTAAAGCTTGGAATTCTAACCTGTATGTCTTTGTGTTCAATCTCTCTAAGACTATTTAGAACCAAATATTATCAAACTTCTTTTTCTTCCCCTCCTGTTTGATAAATATTTTTTTTCAAAGATTTTTATATCTAAAAACTAAGCCATTTTGCTTACAACTTCTTTGTCTCTGATCTTCTTTATTGAAAATGTTCTGAAATCCTAGAGAAAATTTAAGAACTTAAAAGAATTTTCAAATTTCGCCAAGAGATCCTTTGGGTTCATCTGGACATGAAAAGAATATCCTTTTTTCAAAATCATGCTGGAAGGTCATCCCTTCAAACTCGGAAAAAGAAATTCTTTGGGTTCGAGTTCGATGTAAGCTTTCTTGTGGAGGAACAATCGAATGGTCAATAACTCATTTTATTTCATTTTTCTCAATGAATGTGTGATTTTTCATAAACAAATTGTACAAGCTTTAATCTAGGTTGAATGGACTTTGGAGGAATGAGTTCAAACTCCTAAGCCCTACGTGCCTAAGATATTAAAATACTTATAATTTCTTGACAACTTAATGTCTTAGAATCAGCCAACATTAGCACAGGCCTTAATTGCAAAATAGACATTAAACAAAACAGCTTCTCAGTAACAATATTTTCTCCCAACACTAAATTGAAACTTTTCTTGTTTCAAATTTCAATCTCTAACATGTTTTTTCTTCATTATTTTCTAGTTGACCGATTACTTCAACACCGTTGTCCATGTCTTTGTACGATAGACAACTTCGAAGGCAAAGATTGAAGTCTTCGAATGAGGAACTATTCTCGTATCAACCATTGAAAGTTTAGTACATTAAATATTTCTGAGCAGGTCTTATCGCACATCGTTTTATACATTTGTATGGAAAAAAAAAAGAGGAGATCTTTCCATCCTAAGAACCTCAAGAATCAAACTGGTGTTGAGGACTCTGTATTGATTCCTTTTCTCAAGTTTGATTTTTCTGCACATTTCATATACAAAATTGACATTTAATTGTGAAGCCATTGGGATATGAACTATGAAGCAGTGGATATATATGGTTCTGTTTTGGAAGATTTTATTGATAATACAGTCAATATCTCATTCTCTACACTTTTCTTTTTCTAGAGGCTGGTTCTATTTTTTCTCATTTGATTATCCCTCTTAAAAGTATGATATATATATTTTAAATATTATTTTGGTCAATCTATTTTTGATTTTAGTGCATGTTGGTTCTTGTACTTTCAACCTTTATTCGTTTAATTTTGTATTCTCAAAATTTCTATTTTGGTCTGTGTAATTTTTAAAAGTGATCAATTTGGTATATAATTGTAAAATTTTAACACAAATTTTATATAAAATACAAAATATTTTAATATAAATCTATAGTTACATTTTAAGAAATTAAGTTAATGAAGTGTTATGCTAAAAATAGCATAGAGATAAATGAGATAAAAAAATGGAGGCTGAAATTGGTTAGTTTTTAAAAGTATAAGAATTAAAATAGATCCAGTGATTAAAATGAACAAAAATTGAAAATATAAGGATAATTAGACGTTTTGAAAATCTATGGATATACTGAGTCAAAATAAAAGAGTACTAGAATCTTAATGATATTTAAATAAAAAATTTAAAACTAAATTTTCTTTGGTCTAATGCACCTGTTGGTGGTACATATATGTTAGTTAGCTATTCTCGCTTTGAATTTTTTCCACGTCTTAATAACATATTAAAAATCAATTAAGAAAATATATTATAATAATATAGAGAAAATGCTACCGTTAATCTCACTACGTATTTGACAATACATTATAATAATCAGTGTTGTATTTGCGAAAGTAAAAAAAAAAAAGCAACTGTTATTATATAAAATTTAAAATTTAATAGGGGTAAATGCTGACCAAAATAAATTATGCATTTTAAAAAATCGTCAAACATATTAGATATATTTTTCTGAATAATTTTTTAGACAAATATATTTGATTTAATCGATAATCGAACTGTATCTAATCAAATATAAATAACTTAAATATAATTTAAAAATTCTGTATACTCTGAAATATGATTATTCCTAGGTAAAGTGAGAAATTTAAGATCCTAACCTAAGCATAGAAGTTTAGAGTTTGCACATTGTAGATGAAAATATCGTAGCTAGTCATATATACATATTGGTAAAAAAAAAAATCTAGAAGAATCCAAAATTAATTTAACACTAAATCTGGTTTTAAAATCAATTTAACAGTGAAATCAATCATTTTGTAAATGAATCCAAAATTAACTGATTCCTAAAATTGATTAAATAATTTACATTTAAAATGAAATCTATCGTAAAACCTGGGAGAGATAAGTTTAATCTCGAATTAAATTTTGTAGGTGAGGTTTAAAAATAGAATAAGGATAAAGATGGAAATCACCATAGTTTAAATTCTCTTATTATGATGTTATTTGGCAATTTATTAAAACGGGTTCAATTCTGGCTCCTCACCTAAATTATCCAATTTAATATATTGGAGGTACATGCCCTCAATGGTGAGCGGCCCAAGCCCACTAAGTTAGAGTTCAATCATGTGTTGGGCTGGGCCGAGGTTACATGACCAGTACTAATCCTATCCAAGTTATATATGGGCTACTAATTGGGCTTTGACTTCTGGATCCAACTTTAAAATGGGCCATGGCTGACATCTTGTTATCATGCTCACGCCTTTGGATTTTAACTTTTCTTTTCTTCTCGAGATCGTTTGATAGAAACAATATTATTAATCCATAAACTGAGTTCTTAACTTTTAAAAAATTCCAATTACCTCTCAAAGTTTTGAATTGTAATCCTAGGTTATCTTTTATCATTTATATTGTTTGCTAAATCACAATGTGACATGTTTATGGGATGGATAAACAAAATAAAGTGACACAGAAAATATGTTCTTTTATTTTTTATTAAAATAGTTTATATTATTATTTATTTTTAGTATAATAACGTGTGGGTAGGAGTTCAAACACAGACTTTTTGGTTGGAGATATATGCCTTAACCAGTTAAGCTAGGTTGGTAAAATAATTTATAGGTTAAAATACTATTTTATTATTAACTTTTAAAATATTGGTTTTGATTGCCGTACTTTCAACTTTGGTCCATTTTAGTTGTACTTTCAAAATTCGTTTTTTCCATATACTTTTAAAAGTGACCATTTTGGTCCCTTAATTTTATTTTAAATCTCATTTTCTCTATTACAATTTCAACACGATAATACACTCAATATATTTATTGAAATGTAACCATGACTTTATATTAAATGATTTCCGTTACGTGTAGAAATTTTTTGTGTAAAAGTTTGAAAATTGGGACCAAACTGGTCTCTTTTTAAAAGTAGATGGACCTGTAAAATTAATATAAAGATGAAAATGAACCGAAACAAAAAATACATAAGACCAAAATAGTATTTAAACCTAATTTATATTATTACTATCACACATGAAAACAATAATTGAATAACAAAAATACTGTGTTTCTGTGTTTGAAAAAAAAGTAGTTAATTGATGATCATATTGCTTGGTTGTAATTCTATTTATTTGGAAGATAGTGAAGAACATTTATGAAATGATAGGGGTCTTAATTGGGAAAAGTGTGATGACATTATTTAATGCAATTAATGTAAGTGTTGAGAAAAAGGTGAGAGAAAAATTATTAAGTTAGTTGGAATTATTAAATGGGAATAAAGTTGTGGGAATTATTAATTGAATCATGTAGTGATGGGAGAGGGGACAGGTAAGCATGGTTCCATTAAAAGCCTGCAAATCTGCAAAAAGATGACCAAAAAAAAAAAAAAAAAATAGTGAGAGAAATAAATAAAGAGAGAGAGAAAATAAAGGAGATATGTTATAGTTTATCATATGCATGTTATGTTCCCCTATCTTAGGTTAATGCTCACATTTCTATTCTAAAGAGAGAAAAAGAGTAAAGTTTATCTTTATTGATGGTTTAGATTTTTTTTTGGTCTTATTTCAGCAAAAAGGAAAAATAAAATTGGAACTTTTCAGGTTGTTTCATTTTTGTACCTGAAGTTTAAAAATGTTTAATCTTGTGATCTATAAATTTTTAGGTTTATTCTATTTTGGTCGGTAAATTTTTAAAATGTTAATTTTTAGTCCAAAAAACAACCATTTTGGTTTCGACTTATTGTTTTAATATTTCATTAATTATTCGATAAATGAAAAGTGTGATTTCAAGCATACATATTAACTTACACATATTAGAGCTACATAAGTTGGCTATGGTAGGAAAAGAATCAAAACCATTTTTGTTTATTCTAAAGTCAATGAACTAAAATAGACATTTTGAATATTTCGAATCAACATGTAATAATAAACCTAAAAATTTAGGGCCAAAATGAAATAAAACCTCGATTAAAAATGACGTTAAGGACAACGATACCAAAATATATCCACAATGGTATGATATTGTCTGCTTTAGACATAGTCCTCAAGGCTTTACTTTTGGTTTCACTCAAAATGTCTCATACCAATCGAGATAATTTTCCTATTTTATATACCATGAATCATGCTCTTCCCTAGTTCATGTAATATTTTGTTTGTATTCTCATTGCAAGCCCAAGAAATGGGAACTAAACCGCCAGAAAAGAACATATAATAAAGTACAAAAATAAATAATAAAAAAATAAAAAGTAGAATTAATTTTTTTTAAAATATTTTTACTTATTGAAAAAAGAATAGGAGTGAGTAAGAACCTTTTTGGAGGTCCACATCTACTTTTCAATAGATGAAAAAGAAAGGCAAAGCTTTTTGCTTACAAGACAATCTTTTTCTTTTTAGGGTTTTAGGTGAACTAAGAGTTTGGCATTCATGAGAGAGAGAGAGATTTGTTTGTTTGTTTTTTTTTTTTTCAAAAGAATACAAAAGGGAAACCAATTAGGAGTAGGTTAAAAGCATTCTTAACTAAAAGTGTGCAATCCCCCTTTGTCTCACATTGACTTTATGGGAATTTTTTTTTTAATTTTTTTTTTAATTTTTTCCCATCTTCTCCCCATTTTGTTTAAGTAATATATCAATTTTACTTTTAAATTAATGTATCTATGGTACTACTTTTTAAGTCATCCACATGGCACCTTATTTATTATCATCTTTTGCATTTGTGTGATAAATCAATTTTGGTCAATGCAAAAAGATCATGAAGAAAATATAATTGAAAATTATTTTATATCATTTAGGTTCGTTTACTCAATCATAATGATTAAGAATCAGAATAAAAATCAATTGGAATCGGATTATTATTCTATAAATTTAACAAAATCATATATATTGTTAATTGAGACGGATGGAATTGTGATTTATCATGTCCTTAATTAAAATAATAATAATTAAGTTTAAATTATTCTATCTTGATTTCTAAAAACGTTCAAATATTTTATTTTATTCCCTTTTTAACTTTAGAATGCTTTGCTTTAGTTTCTAAATTTTACCTAAAGAGGTCATTAACAAGTTCATTGATGTTTTCATTAATTATTGAATAAAAAAATTTAATTATTTTGATATGCCTTATTGGATGTGGCTTTAAGCAATTTTCCCAATGGAGATATAATCATTAAATAAATGGATAAAATACATGTTGATTTAATAATTAAAAAAATCAATGTCAATATAAAATTAGCTTGCAGTAATTGACACTTATCTATGACCAAGAGATATGAGTTCGAATCTCCTACCCCAACTTATTGTACTAAAAAAAATTAAAAAAAAAACGATAAATACTCTAATATTTTTTAAAAAAATGTTATGAAGTATAAGAATCAAATCAAAATATTTGGATGTATAAAAAAAAAACAACCTAAAGTAGGGATCAAAATAAAAGTTAGACTCAAAAAATATTAATTAGCTAAGACTCCCACGGGATAATATGGTCAATAAACTATTGAAAATGAATCATATAAAGTTTTTTTTTTTAGATTAATCATAAATTAAGATGTGATGCTTTTTTGGGAAGTAATTCATGATCATGATATGTCTGGAAGGAAAAAAAATTTATTAACTAGCATAAGGAGATATTGTTAGATTATCTAAAAAGATGATTGGATGAGGGATTTGAAGATTTTAATTTTAATTA